GTATAAAAGGGACTCTACAGGTGTATTTAAGTAACCCTCTACAAATAGTATGGTATAAAAGGGACTCTACAGGTGTATTTAAGTAACCCTCTACTAATAGTATGGTATAAAAGGGACTCTACAGGTGTATTTAAGTAACCCTCTACAAATAGTATGGTTTAAAAGATTCACCGTGTTAACCATTTAAATCTTTGTCTGAGATAAGATGGCTGAGAAATTATCATTTTCTAGCTGAAAATTGGTTATTTCTCCGCTAAAGTGAATTTCAGAGACAAAAAGTGTAAGAATTTCGCACTGAAAAACCAACCAACCAATACAAGATAGAAAGAAAAGATATTTAAAGATTCACTTTAAATAACGTCGAAACTCAAGAGTTTACTAATGACTTCAGCTTAGTTATTTAAAAATATGTTATACATTTTTTGTGATTTAAAGGTTTATGTTCCTAAAGTATTTTCTCCTTGAGTAGTTGGTGGCCACCCTGTCCAAACCTAAAGCAAATATTTTACATTTGGCTCTACTGTCTGAATGTTGCTACCAAAAAACGTCAAATTGAGTGAATTGAGTCGAGCTAGCCTAAATTTGTTGTAGTACTTCAAGAAATGTCGGAACTTTTATGTTATAAATTTTTATGTACTATGGTGGTGAAAATTTAAATTAAGGGATCACGAAACTTTTGGATATCGTTATCGAATATTATTTGGTGATAACGCTTAGAAATAATCGAATATGATATGGGACGCTCTGTATCTTAAAGGTTCAACACAAGTTCACGGGAAGGGTTAAGACATATTAAGGGGACTGCGGAGGTATAATTTCAAAAGATCCTCCGTGATAAAAAAAGTGGAAGATATCGTCGTTTTCAATCTGTTTAATTCTGAAAACTTGACAAATGCTTTTTATAAGCAAAAAATGTCACTTTCGCATAGAACCCGGAAATGAAAAAAAACCAATTAAAATAAACAAAAAAATGATTTTCATGCTTGATCAGACAAAACTGTACATTGCATCTTTGCATAGAGCGTCACTTGCGCTTTCAGTCCCTTTAAAAACTGATTAAGAGATGCATTTTTAATTTTTTTTATCAACCTACCTGTCTAAATACTGGAATCCCTGTAACAGTTGATGTATCTCTCTTCACATGATTCACTAATTGGTTTCCAGTAAACGGGAGCGTATACGTCTATAAACAGTAGAATTTTAGATAGGTAGGTAGGTAGACAGGCCCGCCAGGTTAGAAAACCCAGACCGAAATCATGTAGATAGGAAATTAGGTAGATGGGTAAGTAAGTAGCTTATTATAAAGTATATCTATAATAGTAAGTGTATATGTGGGTAGGTACCTTATCATTAGGTATATCTATAATAGTAAGTGTATATTAGGGTAAGTACCTTATCATTAAGTAAATCTATAATAGTAAGTGTATATGAAGTACCTTATCATGAAGTAAATCTATAATAGTAAGTGTATATTAGGGTAAGTACCTTATCCTTAAGTAAATCTTAATAGTAAGCGTATATGAAGTACCTTATCATGAAGTAAATCTATAATAGTAAGTGTATATGAGGGTAAGACTATGATCTCTTCTGGTTCTGGTTCAGCTACAACTGCAGGTATCTCTGGGGTCAGGAGATAAAGGAAATTTTCCTATTGGAATATTAAATAACCATTTCTTCTCAAGAGACAAGAAAATGGGCAAGGTTTTGTTTACCAAAAGCAATTTTGTGCATAGCAACAACAAGCAAGAAAATAGCCAAAATTTTGTTCCCTGATAATTAGTTTCTAGGGATTAAAATTTTGAATTATTCAGTTTTTCTTTAGTTCAATTAGAGAAGAACTACGAATTATAATTGACAATTAAAAAAGTTGGTTAAAATTAAATATACAGAAATGTTAAAATTAAATATACAGAAATGTTAAAATTAAATATACAGAAATGTTAAAATTAAATATACAGAAATGTTAAAATTAAATATACAGAAATGTTAATTAAATATACAGAAATGTTAAAATTAAATATACAGAAATGTTAAAGTTAAATATACAGAAATGATAAAAATATTTTCCTTGGGTAGATTTAGCTCTGATAATAATCTTCTATCTGAGGGGGGAAACATCGAGTTCGCCGACCAACCCCTGGATAAATATAGTTTCTAGGGATTAAAATAATATTCTATCAAACAATATCAATCAATGTCAAACAATATCAAACAATATCAAACAATGTCAAACAATGTCAATCAATGTCAAACAATGTCAAACAATGTCAATCAATGTCAAACAATATCAAACAATGTCAAACAATGTCAATCAATGTCAAACAATGTCAATCAATGTCAAACAATGTCAAACGATGTCAAACAATGTCAAACAATGTCAATCATTGCATAAATTAAAAGATACATTAATAGATAAATCAATCTATCAACCAATCAATCAATCAATCACGCCATCACTGCATCAATCAATCAATATCAATTAATTAATAAACCAATGCATAAATCCACCAACTCATAAATCATAAAATCAATCATTAACTCAATGAATCAATGAATCAACCTGATTTCTTGTTGACACGGTGAAACTCCAGTCTCTGCTAACAGCAGATCTTTTACAACCTGAATTCAGCAAATTTAATATTTGGAAAATACATTTTTTCGTGTTTTCTTCTTATCTTTTAAAAAAAGACAACAATATAACTTATTCTTTTGCTGGCAAACATCAAGTTTGAAAGGGATTGCAGTCGTTATTTGACAAGGTATTACCTGGATGGATTGATTGTCTGGAACCTTGAGATGAATCATTCTGTCTCTATACTCTATATTCAGTTCCAGCATCCGACTCCTAATTAAGTGAACAATTAATTATCATCCATAATTTTTTAACCAACCATCCAAGCAACCAAGCAACCAAGCAACCAACCAGCAAAGCAAGGAAGCAAAGAAGCAGTTATCGAAGTAATTAACAAAGCAACCAATGAAGCAACCAATGAAGCAACCAAAGAAGCAACCAAAGAAGCAACCAACGAAGGCAACCAACGAAGGCAACCAACGAAGGCAACCAAAGAAGCAACCAATGAAGCAACCAAAGAAGCAACCAGATAAGCAACCAAAGAAGCAACCAAGCAATCAAGCAACCAACCAACCAACCAACCCACCAACCAACCAAACAAATATAAGTGTCAAATCAACAAACCATAAACTAACCAAACAACCAACAAACCACAACCAACCAAATTACTATCTATCACACCAACTAACCAACAAACAAAATACAATATTAATTGAACAAAAATAGTTAAAAACCTTTGAGATGCTCCCAGAGGCAGATAGTCACTGGCCAGAGACACTCCAGCACTCCTACTACTTCCTGCAACATCTAGAATAATCATATTAATTCATAATTGATATAATAAAGCTCATCGCTCATATATATATATTTCTATGTAAGCTATGGATGGCCAAACGGCTGGATCGAAAGTAAAAAACAAAATCTTCTCTTTAAAAATCGATTTATTTTTTCAAAATTCTATTTAAAAGAATTCCAGGGGCAACGCTGGGTACTTCAGCCAGTTATTAATAAAATGGAATATTATTCTGTATTTTATTTAAAAGATATAAATATGAATGTATATCTTTCAATAACAACTGTAGATATTGACGGAAAATTTTAATTTTGTCATGTGTTAATTTAAGCATATAAATTATAGCTATTTCCCTAGAAACCAGCGACGTCGCGCGACCAGTCCCATTAGGTCGAGATAGGTCAGGTTAGGTCGGGTTACGTCAGATTACCAAACTGGTCGAAACATGACCAGTCCCCCAGGTCGTGTTTGGCCAGTTTAGGTCGGGTTAGGTTGAGTTACCTAACTGGTCTCATACTGGTCTTAACCTGACCAATCCACTTAGGTCAGATTTGGTCGAGATTGGTTGAGTTAGGGGGGAAGGTTAAAGTGTAGCAGTACTAATAGAATAAATTAGGCTCTGCTCAGTGATTATTAAATAAATGACTTGTTTAATCATTTGGACGTCAAAAGTTTGGTCAATTGGACGTCAAAAGTTTGGTCAATTGGACGTCAAAAGTTTGGTCATTTGGACGTCATTTGGACGTCCAAAGTGACGTCATTTTGACTTTGAAAGTTTGGTTGTGAGGACGTAAGAATCCTTGCGTTAAACGTCCTCAGCACCTAAAATATTACGTCGCCGGACGTCGCACTGGTAATTATTGACGTCCCCATGACGACCTTAGGACGTCCTCTGGTTTCTAGGGTTGTCAACTTCTTGAATTGGCGAACTTTTAAAGTGAAATTTATTAAATAATCATAGAAAATATGGAAAACAGCACCTTTAATGCCGCATTTTACTTTTTATTCTGTCCAAGGTTATAAATTCAGATGTTTCATACTAAATACTAGAACACATTTTCATGAAGTTTTTCTGTTGCAAAAAATTAACACACTTTTTCTCACTCTTGATAAAGTAGAAATAAAGAAATACTCTGAAGATGAAATATTGAATACAATAAAGAAGCACATTTTTCAAAAAAGAGGCATCGATCGCCACCTTTGAAGATAGATAGATACCTGGATTAAGATAACTAGCAAACGTGTCCTGAAGCGGAGGCATCATTTGTGGGAAGGAGGAGGAGGACATCATCGGAGGGAAGGACGGAGGGTCATCAGGGATAAATATAGGTTCAGGTTCCTCTGCATTCATAGGTAGGACAGGAGCTAGGGGGTCCACACCCTAGATTATGTACATTTAATATGTAACTTTATTCGTACATTTTATCATCTAAAAGTTAATCTTATCTACGAGTAAAAAAAAATAAAATAATATGAAAAGTGGGTTTTAATTTCAGTGTTATTATAACTTTGTTTATATATATCATTATTCAGCATCTCATAAATTTGATTTTGACAATGAACAGGTTTCTCCATAAGTGATACAAAAATTTCTTGACGAATAGACGTAATCTGGGAATCTCTAATCCCTGCTCGTATTTTTCTTTTCGGCTTGCTAATTTGTTGTTTCAGTGCTAATGTCCATTTATTTTATTTCGTTCTTGTTTTTTCATGGATTATGTTTATCTTTTTAATTTTTTTATCAATTTATCCACGTAAAATTTTGTATGTATTAGGGCTTTTGTAATGGTCTAAGACCTTTTAGTCCTCCACTAAATTGTAAAAAATAATATTTCAAAAAAATTTAAAATGTCAGAATACATTATTATTATTATTATTAGAGGGCTATTATCATTATAAAGTAGTGTAAGATTATAAATATAGATATATATGCTGCAGACTTGGACAAATTAAATATTATTATCCAAAGATTTGACTTGGCTTTCCGCATTATAAATAATTTGTTGGAAATCATTAACTTAAACACGAGGCCTACGGAAATGTTTAGATTGACTATTGATGCATATTTAAATGCAAGCAAAAACAGATTTTAAACATTATCCTTTTTACTGAAAGTTATCAATTATTGGCATTTAAAGAACCTGTATGACATATATATTAAACTGTTGAGGATTTCTTTAATTAATACAAAAAAAATCAGCATCTTAAAACCCTAAAAATTGTATGAAAGAAATATGGTTCTTAAATGAAGATATGAAACTGTTCAACATTTTTTTTAAAGATAGGGTTTTTGTGGGGGGCACAACGTCTTGGGTGCCCAAAAAGATATTTCAGCAAAGGTGCCCCCCCCCCTTACATTAAAGCTATCGTAGTCGTACGCCCCTGATATCAAATCTCCCCACCTCCCCTAGGGCCACCTCCCCCCAATTTTAAATGCCCCTATTGCGAGCCCTCGCTTCCAGTGTTTTCCTTTTTGACGTCACGAGGGCCCGTTTTTACCCTGCCAGGGGTTCTGGCCCCTTTAGATAAATAGTGACCGCTCTATAGCACAACGGGCACCCCTGACGTCACGAATCATATTTTGCGGGCCCTCGTTATTCAGTCCAATGAGAAATCGTAAGCTTTATGAAACGCGTGCAAGGAGCGCGATGACGGCTTTCCATTGGTTGAATAGTTGCGGGCGCGCTAAATCTAGCTGCAGTCTGCAACTTTCTTACTCCTGCGGTACCCTAACAAATTTTAATTCCTCTCTGACTGTCTTCAACACACGTACACAAAAAAAGCAGGTATGAGTATATTTTATTATTAGTCAATATTTGATGTTTCTAGCGTTAAACAACTCATTTAAAAGATATGACATTTTTACGTCAATTGTGTTGCCCTTAAAACTGTCAGATGTTTATCTGTACTTTAAGCTGGTGTCATGCATGGGGTACACTGCTTAAAATGGACTATCAGGTTTCAAGTCAAAACACCTAAACTTATTCTTTGGATTATGTTTATATGAAGGCTACTGTGTTATGCTCTCAATTTTTAGAAAATGCCACCTTTAAGCAATTCAATTTTTAAGAAATTGTAAAAATTCAAGTGCATTCACAGGTTTAAAATAAAACAAAATTTCATTTTAAGACATAAATCTGCTTCTTCTGTTTTTTTGAAGATATTTTTTAATAGTAAAAACATGGCCTCCTAATTTTTTTATTTTCTTGAACAGTCGTGAAACTTATTGTAGCACAAAAATCAAACCCCTAAGTCAACTGCCTGACGGCCCAAAAAAGTTTTTTTTAAGGCAGTATTTGGCATTATATAGTTCACTTAAGGCTTTGATTTTTTTGCTTAAACATATTTCTGGTGTAAAAATAATTCACAATATTTGGGAACCCTGTCATCAACGGTTCTAAAAGTATCGCAAAAAAACACAGAATAATCTTGATTCATCTTTGAATCTACAGTTACGATAGAGTTTAGACTTAAAAATGCACTTGATTTCTACAATTTCTTTTAAATGGATTAATCAAAATTCCCTAGGTGGCATTTTCTGGAAATTTAGATTATAACTTAGAAGCCTGCATATCAATATTTTCCGAAAAATAAAATTATGCGTTTAGACTTGAATCCTGATGGTTTATTTTCAGCAGTGTGGGGGCTTACTCCCCATAAAATTTTTAACCATTTAAACACAATATTAGACATAAAAAGCAATGTAATGACATTTTCCGATATTTATTAATGTAATTTGAATTGGTCGCAGCTCCGGGCCCCCTAGCCTGTCCTTGGCCCAGAAATTGTCTTAACCTAACCTAACCCAAAATCAGTGCTTAGGATCCATTTAAATTTGATAAGGATTTGGAACCGGATCCAGGTCATTTCTTAAGATTTACTGATTTTTTTAACAAAAAATAATTTTTTGTTTTACTATTTTTGCTTATTTTATCTTCGTTTATCTTGAATCCAATTGATCCGGATTCTAAGCACTGTAACATTAACCAATAGGACTTCTCAACCCTACTGACCCTAAAAACTAAAAATACTAAAGCCTCATAGGTATTATAAGGTATATTTACGTAAACATTTGTATGCTCAACTTTTTGATAAATTTATGTGTTTTCACATCATACCATCCCAACTTATTGTCATTTCGTCAAAATCAAGTAGTTAGCATAGTCTGTAATAGAAAACGTTTAATCCTTTCTGGTTTTAACTTAAACCTGCATTTATTTTATAATGTTTTCTCATTTTAGACATGGGTGACGAGACTGAGTACATCAAGCTGAAAGTTGTCGGCCAGGACTCTAACGAAATTCACTTCAGAGTCAAGCAGACCACTCAGATGGGTAAACTCAAGAAGTCCTACAGTGAGAGAGTTGGTGTCCCAGTCAGCTCTCTTCGATTTCTGTTTGACGGTCGCCGAATTAATGATGATGAGACCCCAAAGGCCCTAGAGATGGAACAAGACGATGTTATTGAGGTTTACCAGGAACAGACTGGAGGAGTGTGTACAGTTCTTCTGCTGGGAGCTTCAGACGAATCTTAGAATTTGTTTGAGATATGTGAGTTCAATTTCAAACGCTGTATGTGTAAATAAGATTCAAAATATAGCATTAGATTCAAAATATAACATTTATCTCTAAAGATTGTTTATTTCTAAGGTAAGAAAAATTGGTATCTGGGAAAAGAGAGAACCAATTTCATATTATATAAGGTCTAATTGGTCAACGCTACCTAGCCTCGTAAAGTAAATGCCTAATTTAGAAACTATTCAAACTCTTAAGTACGAGTTGATTACCAGTATTTTAAATGATTTATCAAAAATAGGAAAATGGGGTAGAATATACTAAATTACGACAAAAAGTGTCTGAAAAGCTGCTAAAAATCTGGGTTTGCCTTTATCTTATCAATTCATAAATTGATGATTAGTGCTTACAAGTTACAACGTTTTGAAATTCAGACCTTTTAGAGATCTTTTAAAATTAAAGTTTTTCCGCGATCTTTCTTGGTGAATTGGCATAGGAAATAAAAATAGCAGGGAACCATAAAATTATGAAGATAAGGTTTCTCTTATCATTTTTTCTGTGGGTCTCCCTTTACCTGCTGAGCAGCTTGAACAGGAATTGCCACATTAACAGCATCAACTAGTACCCAGTTACTGTTCTCTAAATGCTGAAGAGCCTCTCCAATATCCTAAAGAAGAAAGCTTTTATAACAAATTATTAAAAGTCTATATTTGATCCCGTCTTTTCCAAAAATGTTTGACCGATTTCGATTTGATAAGACTAATCTATTGAAACACTAACTATAAAACAAAAATTTCAATATAAATTTATTAAAAAAATGGTTTCAGAAATAATTTATTACCATGGAAGAAGAACTTTGTTATTTTAAAAGAGCGTTAATTTGATTTCCATTCTTCTGTTTAGTACGTTGTATAGTGGCATGATTGTAACCTTAAAAGTTTCACGACAGGCTATTTCTAGATGAAACCCAAATGAAGCCGTATTAGGAGCCCAGTTTCTCTCCCATGGTGACACGAGGATTTTTAAACAGCTAATAGACATAATGGGATATTGCCGAGTATTCAACACTTTTTTAATGCTGTTTAATGAGCTGTCACACCCATGTACAAAATTGATAGGAGGGGGGGGGGTCCAAAAATCGTATACTAAGAATATACCAAAAGGACTAGATATAATTGCTTTTAAACCAATGAATATCTCTTTTCAGATGTATGTTTAGCAAATTTACATTGATTTTGTTTAAATTGTCTACATCAGATCTAGAATTCTCAGCAGTCTCTTTGAGTGTACTTTAAAACGACTAACTTTTCTTAAATAATAATCAATTCTTCAATGAGAACAATACAGGGGGCCGAGTGCAGCAGCCAGGACAGGCTAGGGGGCCAACCGCCGCGGCTAGGAAAGGCTAGGGACCGGGCGCTGCGGCCACATGGTCAACTAAATCCATGTCTTACATATAAAATCCATGTATGAACAAAATTGATAGGAGGGGGGGGGGGAGTCCAAAAATCGTACATTAGTAAATTACCCAATTCAATTATATTATACAAGAAGGACTAGTTGAATAACGACAGATTAAGTAAAAATAAAAAAACAAAATGAAAAGTCATGATTCAATATACAAGGAGTTTAAAATTGTTTACGCATTCAAACGATTTATATTTGTGTACGCTAGAGAGGTTTCGTGAATTTACCTTTCTAATTGGTGCTTTGTCAACCGAACTAAAAACTAAAGAACTACAGGGGAGCAGACCAAAGGTCAATTTCTTAAAGGCCCTACCATAGGTTCAACCATAGGTACAACGTCATTTACACTATGGTTAACCCATGTTCAGATTTCTGAAACACAAAAGAAACATAAGTAGAGTTCAACCTATGGTTATTTAACCTTAGGTAGAGATAACCCAGGTGCAACTACCCAACAAACAAAAACCCGTGAAGAACACAAGATTATTTGGTTTATTTCTCACGAGTGACCCGTCATTATCCTGTGATAATTCACGTGTTGTCGAGGTGTTTGTCGACGATTTGAACACGGGTCTAGGACCGAGTTTTTACACGGCGAAAACTTGAGTTTATTTCACGAGATGAACACGGGATTTTTTTCACGAGATGAACACGGGATTTTTACATGGGAAAATTATTTTTCTCTCATCTACTTTAATTACATTTTTAAAAACCCCGGGAAAGGGGGGGGATACATAATTGATTTCTAATATAGAAATATATTATAAAATATACTGTGTAAAAGTATATAACTATTACAAAATGTTTAGAAACTAAACATTTTAGTTTATATCTTTTACATTAAACATCTTGAACATGTAAACTTTAAACTTTTCTTATCACAAAGTGATATTTCAAGTCTAATTATTGTTCAATAATGTTAATGTATTCATAATTATATGAATTCCCCTTCCTGTATATATCTAAAATATCGATATTCCAAAAAGGGGTTGTTGNTCAAGATTATTAAGAATTAAATGTTAAAAAGTAACACATTTCTCTTTTAATAAAAGTGAAATTAACATATACATATGTAATTAGGGCAGCCAAGAAATAAAATATTTCTATAGAAAAATCAGAAATTTAAACAATTTGAAATGTAGAGTAAACTCAAATTTGCGCTGTTTAATTGCGTCATTTGAGCAAAAACAATTTGCATGTTTACGCTGCTTACGCAATTTGTATAGCTGGGCTAAAGAATCCGTATTTCCTAAACGCTGGTATTAGTGTTAGGGTTGGTAATCTTTATTCTAAAAAGATACTTCTCTCCTTTTTTTTGCAGTAATAAAAATCAGGACAGAAAATCCGATAGGTCGGTTAACCTATAAACAGTTTTATTAAAGACGATATTATATTTGTTGATTAACAGTTTTCTCTCTCAAATACCGCGTTGCATTCTCAGATTTTAAAAATTTCAAAATCCCGCAAATTTTGACATTACCAATATTGCAAGCATTGAAGAAATCCGGTTTTGAAACGTATGAATACAATACAAAATGGTTCAGTTTTTATAGGAAACCGAGTAGCGGAAAAGTGAAGATAATTGGATGTTATTTTGACCGAGCGATAGCCCTAATTTAGGATTATCCAGATATATTTAAAGTTCTACGCTGGCTTGACAAAGCTATTTTTGCTGATAGTTTATATTTTTGGAGTCGCTCGTGGCTCTTGGGCCGGTGTAGGGTTTCTTTTCGGATTAGATTGATTTATTCCATTTGAATTTTTTGTATTCTTAAGTTGAGAATAGGGTTCTAAACGAAGAGCAATACATAATTTTTATAAATTAAAGTCAGTACAAACTCCAAAATAAATAGTGAAACTATTTCAGAAGTGATATGGCTGCTGAAGAAAGTATAAAGGTTGTAGTGAGGGTTAGAAAACTTCTCGAAAGGTAATTATTTATGGGTAGTCTCTTCTATTTCAATTTTGAACATTTTCTGGGTCCGTCCTAGGGTACGTTCTTTTTTAAGTAGGGGGGGGGGTCCAAATATCGTATTGGAGATAACATATTTTCTCTTTTTAAACGTTGTAAGCTTAAGTTCGCGTAATTTCAAAATAAATCGTGGATTATTTTAATTTGATTAAATTCGTATTTTGTTCATACTAACCTTTGAAATTTTCATCATCATAAACATTTTGTGGGGTCATGTACCACACAAAATTTTGGGCCCGATTGGTTCAGCTGTCAAGATATTTATTGGATACAAACAGACAGACAACCCAAGTTTATTAATAGATTGTGAGCTATGAATCTATTCCAGTGTTCTATGAAGTCTAGTTATGAAAGTAGTTTTTTCTTTTGAAGAACTAAAATAAATCATTTGAAATATTTCATTAAATTATTATTGGTTTTCACTTTTCAGGGAGAAGGAGGAGAAGAAAGTTTTTAAAGTTCAAGACAGTGCAGAAATTTATCATGAGTCGTCCAAGAAAACCTGGACATTTGATAGGAATATCGCAAATACTAAATACTAAAAAGTTCTAACAATATTTTATTTTAAAAATCCTGGTAGCTGGATTTCGTAAGAGTAACTAAAGCCCATTGTGGAAAAATTTTACGGAAATATTTTACTTTAACTTGAACCCGGTAATCATGATTCCAAAAGCAAAATTATATATTTACAAAAATTTGTCAATGTAAGTAGTAGTAAGATGCCAAAATTTTAATTGGACATTGCATGTCAAGGGGATTCATTAATAACTTCTGTTAAACTAATCATATTTTCCAAACCTTTACAATATGCGCCGCATATAGATTTTGGGATAAAATTAAAAATGTCCCTTCTGCCCCCCCCCCCCCCCTCCCCCGTTTTTAAAAGTATTTGTACCTACAGAGTGTTTGGGGCCCTGGAGGGTAACAGAGCAGTATATTTTGATACAGTATCCTCTATTATCGAGTCTGCGGTGTCAGGGTTCAATGCAACTATATTTGCTTACGGACAGGAAGGGTTACACAGTCAATAAAACTGAAGTTTTTTAATGTGTTCTTAATCTTTAATGGGACTGTAAGAGTAATTTCAAGTGACCCTATATAGTTGACACGGCCGATTCACAACGATACCGTATGATACGAATTAGAAAAAAGCCTAGCACATTTTTACTGCAGGAAAACTTATTTTTCATTATAAAATTAAACACGTTAAAACTTGAAAAAAATACGGCATTGTTGATCAGATTAAGGATTCAATGGCACTAGTGTATCGGGCATTGCCATCTTTGCGTGGAGGGTCACTTGAAATTACACTTACAGTCCCTTTTTTAAAAATTTTTCAAAATTTTTTTTTGTTTCACGGGCTATGCCGAGCCTTTCAGCTTGTAACTAATTAAGGTTGAAAAAATATTTATCCAAAAAATTATGAAGTATAAAAACTTGCATAGAAGTCAATGTTAAAAAACAGTAACATCATCATTCTTTTTGAAAATTAACATTTTCTGTAAGAGATTGTTTATAAGAAATTATGATAGGAATTAAATATTTTCCCCAATTTGGCTAATACGGCTGTGCGCCTAAAAATACCTAACATTTGGGGAATAAAGAATGACTTTTAAAATGGGGGGGGGATGATGTTCAAGAAAATAAACACACCTGGATTTTTGAAAATTAAAATTACATAAAATTTGAGTTTAAATTTGTTGTAACCGTTGCGTGGAGTAGATAAAAGTGGGGGTAATAGTATGATTTTTTAAAAGAGGGGGATGATGTTTAGGTAAATAAACACACCTAGATTTTCGAGGATCAAAATTAAATACAATTTGTATTGAAATTTGTTGTAACCGGTGCGTGTAGTAGAAAAATATGGGGATAAAAGTATGATTTTAAAAAAGAGGGGGAGGGATGATGTTTAAGAAAAGAAACACACCTGGATTTTTGAAAATCAATATTTCCTAGAATTTGAATTTGTTGTAACCTGTGGTTGGAGTAGACGAGCTCTGGTAAAACCCATACAATGATGGGTACTGAAGAGGAGCCAGGAGTCACCAAGCAAGCCATTGAACAACTCTTCTACGCCGTAGAGGAGACTCCAGATAGATGCTTCTTGATGATGGTAACTAGTTTATCCAGTGCTTGGCTTGCGGATCCGCGTGAATATTTGGAACAACGAATCCGGATCTAAGTGGAAAATATCGGAGAGAATAAACTCTTAACTTTTTCCATAGTTGTCATCGGATGAGATACAAAAACCCGAGAAACAGCCTTTCAATTTTCAAATAAGGAGATCTCATTTAGATCTTCCTAATCATTGAATGGTAAATCAGGTGTCACATAAAAAAATATAAAAAAGTTTTGCATTAAAAAATTAAAATTCTACGGAAATTGCGAATTTTAGAATGGCTTGTCAAATTGACTATGGTAGCCTTTTTGGACTGATGAATGAGATATCATTATTTTCCGGCTAAAACCTGATTTTTTTCCTCTTATGATTTCTCCTTAGAAGTGACAATGTAGGAAAAAGTGAGAATTTAACACTTTCAAGATCGTTAAACGATGTTATGTTCTTGGTTTAGAGGTTACCAATAGTGAATTGGACATTCCACTCATTTTAAATGAATTGTTCCTGAAATAGTCCTTAAAACTGGTGTATAGTCCCTTGAAACTAGTGTATTGTCCCTTGAAACTGGTGTATAGTCTCTTGAAATTGGTGTTATCTGGTGTATAGTCCCTTGAAACTGGTGTATAGTCCCTTGAAACTGGTGTATAGTCCCTTGAAACTGGTGTTTAGTCCCTTGAAACTGGTGTATAGTCCCTTAAACTGGTGTATAGTCCCTTGAAACTGATGTATAGTCTCTTGAAACTGGTGTTTAGTCCCTTGAAACTTGTGTATAGTCCATTGAAACTGGTGTATAGTCCCTTGAAACTGGTTTATACTGACACTTAAATCTATGGATGTGTAGGTGTCCTACCTGGAGATATACAACGAGCAAGTGATGGATCTCCTGGACAAGAGTTCCACGAACTTAAAGTTGAGGGAGAATGAGTCTGGGCAGGTGTACGTGGAAGGGGTGAAGTCAATCCCCGTCACCTGCGCCGAGGAGGTTTACAAGATTATGAAAGATGGGGAGAAGAACAGACATTATGCAGAGACTAAGGCAGAAATAAACAAAACAAAAAAATATTTCTAATAAAGGGAGTGTTCTCGAAAAATTAAAGGGAGGTGTAGGCAAAACCTCAATTGAATATGATCATTTCAATTCATTTGATGTTGACACAAAAATTATAAAAAACGTTATTCGTTTGCAGCACAGAACCCAGTAGTGACACTCCAATTTTGTATATGTCTGATAGATGTCACCCGTTAAAATTCCAGCAACTGCGAGATTTTACTGGATTCTTTGTTGTAACACAGCGACAAATGTTTTACAATTATCTTATCCTGCAACCTTTAGACGAAAAAAGATAGATATCATTATTTTTTAGATTCTATGCGGGGCTTGCCTTTCAGGTTTCTCTAGCATTGAATTTACAATAAAGAAAAAGAATTTGGCTGTTCTTTCTGCGCTGAATCTATTTATAGGGACGAGTTTTTTATAGCCCTCATTTTCAAATACTTCTTCTTGACAAAATGTCAAGGTTATTAAGTATTTAAGCTGATTTAACCAGCTATTTTTGTTTGGGTCAGTCAATATTTTTTTCTGTCAATTATTAAAGATTGTCGAAAGAATGTCCACTAATTATGTTTTATTGTTAATGCTAGCTTTGGAAATCATTCATTATTACTTTTATAGAAATAATCAGATAAGATAAATACTTTTGGTTTAGAATTTGTTAAATATAATTTAATTGATGTTAAAAAAGATGAAATATTGATTTTTAATTTCTGATATTGAATAGATGAACGACCGAAGCAGTAGAAGTCATACCATCTTCAGAATTGTGCTTGAAAGCATTAACAGGTAAAAGAGCCAGACCTGCCGACCATGCATAGTACTGTTGAATGGGATGTATTGTTCGATCCGATCCTGTCCGATATTAGGACTATCTCCTAGATTCTATGAACTTCTTAGTCATAGTTTTTATTTAGTAATCTCTGTTTGTATGTCTATCTACAGGGTGTCCCACGAAACATGACAATAGCAAGACGACTTGGAAGTCGTCTTTGGTATTTGAATTTATTTGTGACATTTAGTCTTGTATCTACTTTAACATGTATGATTCTTGAAACAATTATCACATAATTCTCATAGCCCTGGCATTTCCAAAAAGTGGTCTGCGTTTTTTGTGCTTTCAATATTACCGGAGATATAAAGAGTTTGGTTCAGATTTCAATTTTGTTAAATAAAAGCAAAATTGTCGAAATCTGAACGAAATTCTTCATATCTCGGGCAATATTGAAAGCACAAAAAAGGCAGACCACATTTTGGAAATGGCAGGACAAGGGAAATTTTTTGAATATTATCTCTAGAAATTTACTTTTAAAATTAGGTTGACAAATAAACGCAGCAAATTATATCAAAAATCAAGACAACATTCAAGACGTCCTGCATACTGTCATGTTTCGTGGGACACCCTGTACCTATTACAACACGTATGCAACCTCTAGATGCCACCGACAACCACCCCTCAGATCCCGTTTGTATACAATTGCATACGGCCAGGATCGGCTGTCAGCATGATATCGTGCAATGGTTTATACCGGCGGGGGTGGAAGCACACACTGCCAATGGCCTTATGTGCTCACGACTGATAAACGGAGCCAAAAAGTTTCAATATTTATACCAGATTCTTGTTCTTTCATTTTCCATGCCATACACCTTTGGAAAAATGGGCTCAATTTCCTCCAGATAGTCCCCCTTTCTATCATGAAGGGATTAAGTCGTTACTAATCTGTTCTCTCTGTATGTTCTATCATCAAGGGATTAAGTCGTTACTAATCACCTGTTCTCTCTGTATGTTCTATCATGAAGGGATTAAGTCGTTACTAATCTCATGTTCTCTCTGTATGTTCGATCATAACTCATAATCCCGTAGACCGAGTTAAATCAATTGTAAGTCCTGACAAAAAACGTGCAAAAACATTTTGTAGAAATTTATTTTACAGATGGGCTTTTCATAGATCTGTAATATTTCTTTTTTATGATTAGGACGTTAAATATAGGGTGTCCCACGAAACATGACAGTGGCAAGACGACTTGAAGGTCGTCTTTGAGCTTTAATACAATTTGCTGTTATCATTCATAAACCCAGTTTTAGAAGTAAAATTCTAGATTTAATAACCATAAAATACCCATAGTCATGACATTTCCTAAATGAGGTTATTGTTTTGTGAATCATACCTTTTTTAATTAGGCTTACGACTCAATGTCACAAATAAATTCAAAGTCGTCTTGCTACTGGCATTTAGATGAAAATATTTCATTACGAAGATAATAAAAAGCTAGACAGATAAGTTTTTTATGGCAATAACAATGTAAAACTGAGAAACGCGTCCTTTACATTTTGCATGCATAAAATGCCCCCAACCCCCCTTATGTTTAGGCCTCATTCTTGTTCCTTATGAAATGCCCAAAAGTAATACCCTGTCCTGCGTCTTAGGAAAGATTTATCCAGTGCTGATCCGCACATTTTTGTCTTCCTGGATCCGGATCCGGATCTTCAAAAATATGCAGATCTACAGATCCGGATCTCATGGTCATAATTAAATCTTTTGGAGATGAAGAGAACAAACCTGGAAATAAGAAAAAACTTTTTTCTATTAGAGTTGTTAAAGGCTGGAACCAACTGCCTGAGACAGTAAAGGGGTCCATGACCCTATATGCTTTTAAAAACAGTTATGATGAGCATAGAAATTCAGCCATGGATCCAGAATAATAAATGATGACCCCACCCGCCACTTCATTCTTGCATGATGCAGGACCTTGGCGTAGAAACTATCAACGTATCTTTAAACCCAAATCTGAACTGTTGATACAAGAGAGATTAATAAATATTTCCTTATCTAGAAATGGTTCACCAAGTTTTAGCAAAAAAAAATAAGCGTATAAAGAAGAAAAATATATTTTAAGTTTTCTTCTAGTTCTAATCAAGGATCCACATCAAAATTAAAAGGATCCTTAGCTCTGGTTTTATCATAATAAATCTCTTTGTTTTCAGGCTTGAAGAAACTATTGATGAGGAGGACGATGACGGAGAGGGAAGACAGAGTATGATCGCCTACCTCAACCTCGTCGATCTGGCCGGCAGCGAGAAGGCCGGCCAGACAGGGGCCGAAGGAACTAGGTACATTTTTTGTTCTAGGGTTTCTAAATTCGCCGTTAAAGGACTAGAGAAATCATAAAAAAGTCGTTTGATTTACTTAAAAATATATTGAAATAAATCATTTCAGATGTCATAAATTTTTATCTTATAATCTGCCAATTATATGCATCATCATAAAATGTTATTTTAATCGCCGAATTGGATAAATCAAAAAATGGAACTTGCCGGCTGACGTCCAGTTTCTCTTGAGAATGAAGTAATGAAGAATTATACATTTATTAAGGTTGAAAGAGGGCGGAAATATTAACAAATCCCTGATGATGTTAGGCCAGGTAATCAATTAATTTTATAAATAAATAAACTACCGTAGAGTATAGACATGTTAGACTGTAAAGATGCTATTTTGTTCAACTTAAGGGTTCGAAAGTTTGCGGAATGTACGCCAAAGATGATTATTTTAAAATTATTAGTTATCCTTATTCCTAAAAAACTGTTAAAACATTAAAACAAATATTATCTCAAAACAATACAATGTTGTTGATTGAAATTGAGTAAACGTTAAGATAAACATGATTTTATGTATTTAGGTTATCCAGAAGTTAAGCAGCGGAGATAAGAATCTATATATTAATTATAGAGACTCAAAACTTACTCGTCTTCTTCAGGTTTGAGGTTTAATTGCTTTCAAGGGTTGAATTATTTATAATTTTAGAGTAAAATTAAATAAATACTCCACCTTTCAGACAGTTTTTTTCATAAAACTTCCGTTTTCCAAATATTGTTTAATGTCAAACATGTGAAATTTACTTACTTACTTGTACACTTGCATATATTCAAATGGAAGTTTTGTCCTAATTTAATTCGAATTTAAAAAATTTAATTTTAAATTTCAAGATAATTATTTTTGTACAGAACAGCTTGGGTGGAAATGCGAAGACTGCCATAATCTGCACGATTACCCCGGCGCTGATGAGCGAAGATCAAACGTTATCAACGCTAAGGTAATGAATTGAACAAAGGGGGGGGGGTTGACCTCTATTAGTGGGTTTATTGATTACGTCCACCTATTTGCCATACAAAACATCTCTTAAACGCTTTCAGACTCTTGCACCCTTGTTATTCAATTAGATTTAGGAAAGGAACTGATTACTCGCCACTATTTCTAATTATCAAATCTTGATACACTTTTTATCATGTGGAGGATATTATGTCGTTTTACTAGGTTAAATGTTGTAAAATTCTGACAATTCCTTTATGTTCTTCTGTAGTAGAAATGCGCAAGTCCCTTTCGTAGAGAAAATGCAAATGAAATTCAAAATCATAAACATTAATATTCAGTTTTATCAATAGTACCATTGTGAATCATGGATTGACATCATTGCATGAAGGGTTGCTTAAAAAAATAATAATTCAATTAATTAAATTTACCCTTCCCTACTTTTCGTAGCAATATGAAAAAATGGGAGAAATGTTATGACTGATCCGATTTCTCTCGACAGTCTTTTAAGAAGAGCTGTAAAAATAAATGTTATGAACATTTATGTATTAAGATTTTTCCTTTTCCCCTTTCAAAACTCAATAAGACCATCTTTAAGGTTTGCAAGTCAGGCCAAGACAATCAAAACCCACGCGACGATCAACGAGGTGCTGGACGACCAGGCGAAGATGGCGAAGTTGAAGAGAGAGCTGGCGGAGAGGGAGAAGGAGAAGTTGGAACTGCTGAGGAAGGTGGAGGAGCTCACTAACGCTAACCAGGTTAATTTTATTATCCTCAATGTTGATAGAAATAAAGTGGAGGAGGGTCAGGACTGTTAACCAGGTTAACTTTATTAACCTCAATATGGGTAGAACTAAGGTGGAGGAGATCATTAGTGCTAACCCGGTAAACATTATCCTAAATGTGTGTAGAACTAAAGTGGAGGAAGGAGAGGGAAAGGGTTTGATCAAACTTTGTTACATAGTGTAATATAATTCAACGTCTTTAATATGGGCGTTCTACAACCAAATTACTCTTAAATTAGTTGACGTAAAAAGCTTAAAGATTTTAAAGAAAGAGAAACCATAAATCACAAAGCTAAGCTTATTCTACAGAAGTTCTGAATTCAGAACCTAAGGGTCCAGAATTAACAAGGTTTGAAAGACTAATGATGAGAGAGAGAGAGAATTTTGAGGGTATTTTGAGTTATGTTACCAAAACTGTTTGTATTAGAATGGTGAGCAGAGCCGACAGACTAGAGAGCTGCTGGAGCAGCTAGAGGCGGAGAGAACGGAGAAGGCTGAGCAGTTGATGCAGCTGCAGCTGGAGAGGTCAGAGAAGGCGGAGCAGATTGCCAAGAACCGTTGGCTCCAGGAGAAGATCCTTGTTTCCAGTCAACCTGCTAAACCAAGCAAGAAATCTCTTCTCTTGTAAGATTTCTATTATTTTCAGATCTAATTTATTTTTATAATTTTTAGATAAAAAAATCAGAAAATCTCTGCTCATGCAAAATTTTTATAATTTTCAGATAAAAAGAAAAATTCTCTCATCTTAATTTTTATAATTTTCAGATAAAAAGAAAGAAATCTCTGCTCTAAGTTTTTATAATTTTCAGATAAAAAAGCAAAAAATCTCATCTCTTAAGAATTTTATGAATTTTAATCTCTTCTCGAAGTTTCTTTTAAAACTCCTTGATTCACCTTCTAAAAGCCGACAATTCCTTGAAATAAGATAAAATAATCTGCATCACACAAAACAAAACCATTACGGGGTTCATAAGACTTCATGTCAAAAATATTTATTTTCTCTTACAAATTATAGTTTTAAACCTAAATATCATTTATTTAAACCTAAATATCGTTTATTTAAACCTAAAATCTTTCTTATAAACTTTCTAAAATCCATTTATTTTCCCAATTCCTATAAATAACGTACTGGGGTGGGGGGGGGGAATATTTTAGGAGAGAGGTAGGGGTAGAGTTTTTAAGGAAATAACCATCGCTGCTATTGAAAACATAATTTCTCGTTATTTCTAGAAAGGACCGGAACCGGCGTGAGACATGGGCAGCGCCACGTGTCAGCACAGTGTCCAGAGCTAGCTTTGGGTTTCATGCGTTTTCCCGACCCCTGTCGGTATTCGAGCAGCCCAGCGCTCAACCTACATTAGAGGGGGTAATCTATCTTTATATATTATAAAAATTTAAATCTCCTGCTTTTCAGTTTTTATGTTCGATCATAACTCGGGAATCTCTTGACCAATTTGCCTCAAATTTTGAGATGGGAACTCGTAGAACCACGAGAATGTTTTTTGCTTGATTTTAACGTTCTAAATTGAGTTTGTTGACTTTTAATAGGGAAAACATAGCTTCCAGTCAAAGCTAGGTTCCCGATCTAGTACTGCAGGGTTAGTACAGAAATGACTGATCAAAATCTATTAAATCTGTTTTTTAACATGCAGAATCCAGTGTGATAGAAAAGCATGATTTTTCTACATTTACCAAAAAAAAAAATTTTTAAAATTAATACAAATAATTTGTTTTTAGATTGACGATGTTTTTTTTGCTCCACGGTCGTCTAGAAAAGTTAAATTTCTCTCCCCTCCCCAACCATCCTGTTCTACCCTAGTAGAGGTATATTCTTATTCTTAAACATTTATTCCTCTCTCTCCTCCCCAACCATCCTGTTCTACCCTAGTAGAGGTATATTCTTATTCTTAAACATTTATTCCTCTCTCTCCTCCCCAACCATCCTGTTCTACCCTAGTAGAGGTATATTCTTATTCTTAAACATTTATTCCTCTCTCTCCTCCCCAACCATCCTGTTCTACCCTAGTAGAGGTATATTCTTATTCTTAAACATTTATTCCTCTCTCTCCTCCCCAACCATCCTGCCNAGTGCAAATTTCCTTTGACAATAAGAAAACCGTATAATAAGAATTTGAATAGGGTTAATATCACGTGGGAAATGCCAACAATTGAGAAGTGAAGAGCAAAAAGGAATCACTGAGACCATTTTTTTGCAATAATTTATATTAAACGGGATTGAAACGTCCCCCGCCCGTAACCCTTGATTTTATTACAGCATTTAATTATTTCATATTTCTTTCATGATTTAATTGGAAACCTTTTCTTTTTTTGATTTCAAGATTGAGTAAAAATGGATTGTTGTAGGTCATTGTTTCAATGCATTAATTGATTAATTAATCCGTTTTTTAATTTTCGGATTGATTGATTTGTTGTTTTGTTTGTAATGGGTTAAGTTAGGATTTGATTTATTTATGTATTCAATCAATAAATTGGCGATTGGCTGACCTATTTGGATGGTTGATTGTTATAATATTAAAATATTTTTTTAGCAGTTGATTAATTGATCGATTGATTAACTGATAATCTTTTTGGCTGATTCAATTAGTTATTGGCTGATAGAATTAGTTATTTTTAGATTTGTTGGTTTATTGGTTGGTTGCTTGGTTGAATGGTTTATGGATTAATTGTTTGATTGATTGATTAACTATTGATTAATAGATTTTGATGGATTGTGATGGATTGTGATGGATTTTAATGGATTTAGATGGATTGATGGATTGATGGATTAATTGTTATAGGAGGATGAGGATGGAGTATCACCCTCCCTTCCACTGAATAGCATGAGCCTGGATTCCAGTATCCTGGATTTAAGTCTAGGCAACGGAACTCCTAAAGCTATAATCAGGTACTATAGTCGTCGGCATATATATATATCAATACAATCAAGAATACTTTCGATTTCATTTTTGATAAAATTCAAGCTTTTAAACAGCATAGATACACATAAACATGGAAACAAAGAGAAGCTGTCAATTTACGGCTTTTCTTTGGTTACTTGTAAACTTGTAATTTGGAAAAAACTTGTTAGAAATTAAAACTTGACTAGAAAAGTCGTCTTCATTGTATTGATATAAACGCCGACTTCTGTATCTTTATTTTCCGATGCTATTCCTTTTCTATCGAGCTTTTTGGAGTCGTTTTTTACGAAAATATCACTGAGGTTTATTCAAATAAATGATGTTTCTAGAAAATATATACCCATGTTGTCTAGGGACCGATATAAGAGAGTTAGCAGACAGCTGACAGCTAGAGAACAAGAACTGTTGAGACAAGAACGCGAGCTCAAGCGAGTAACAATGGAGTATCAGGTAAAGAAACAGATATTTCGACCTTTAGCGAACAATGTGTATTTTTAGTTCTAAAAAAATAGCATAATGCGATGGTACCGTTTTCTCAAGATTTGTAAAATAAGATTTTCATTCCGGAATCTATATCTATCTCGGTTTATTTGTTTGTTTGTTTGTTAGTTTCTTTAGAAGTCCGAATATAATGGGGAACTCAGTAAAACCACTAATCTAGTTTCCTGGCAAACCTAGGTTCCCAAGCTAGATGGGAGTAATAGAGCAAAAAATTAAGAAAGGTCAACAATTTCAAGCGACCTTTCATTTAAAGAGGTTCATGCCCGATTTACAACCGTACCCTCAAATACTTAATCGATGTCAAAAATGTGGAAGATATCGTTGTGTTAGAAAAGTATTTTGTTCTTTCTATTGAAACCAAAATTGAAAATAATCAATTTAAAAGAAGATTATGGATATCTCCTGCATTCCTGAATTTTAATTACAAAGCTCTTGACTCTTGAGAGTTCCGTTGTAAACCGCTCTGTAAGTGGAGTCATTTGAGATTACGTATACAGTCCCTTTCAGCTATGTCATTTTTTGTACCGCTGTAGGAGCTAGAGGAGTTTGCTAGACTAGAATCTGAGACCGGGGTTCATGAAGACAGATTTACCTCCAGACTTTCTACCGCTAGCTACGAAGATATTGTAAGTATAAACCAGGGTTAAGAATCCATTCTTAGTTGTAGTGCTTAGGATCTGAATCCGTTGGATTTGCAACATTTTGGTTTCCTGGATCCGGATCCGCAAAAATACGCGGAAACACAGATCCGGATCCATAAGGTAAAATATCAACAAAAACAAAGAACATAAATATTTGCTCTCAAAATCCTAATTCCGAACTGTTAAAAATAAAGAGATTATTAAAAATTTCCTCATCTCTGAATGGTTCAAGAAGCCTCGGAAAAAAATGATTATACATAAATAAAAAACTATTGGAAAAGGCTCTTTTGTTCAGAAAAATCAGTAACTCTAAAAGAAACAATTCATTCTATTTCCTGACCTGGATTCGGATTAATTTTTTTCCAGTGCGGACCCAGTATCAGGATCCGCGTCCAAATTAAACGGATCCTGTGGAAACGTGTTCAGATCCGGATCCTGAATTTGTAATGTGAAGGTTTTTTTCTTGTTAAATCTGTCAGTATCCTCTTACAGCGAGAACAAAAATATGTTTTAAGAGGTTCATATTGTTCTAATAATAATTTTCTGCTAAAATAAAGATTTTCGGTGTCTAGGCGATTATATCAATACATTGAAGACGACTGATTAAATTTAAGTTTTCGAATTTTTTCGAATTACAAGTTTACAAGTAATCAAAGGGAAGTTTTTTAATTGACAGCTTCTCTTGTTTTCTGTGTTGCCGGATGCATAACGTATCCTCAGTAGGCGGTTCTCTTAGGATGGGGAGATTTTCAAATCTCAACTGGTATTGCTCGTGTATATGCTGTGTATCTATGCTGTTTAACAGCTTGAAATAAACAAAAAAAAGATTTTAAAAATTTGGTATCTTTACAACGAATTTATCCCCTCCCCCCCTGCCTTTCAATGATTATTTCCAAGGCCCAATATTATTTTTCTCTAGGAGAGAGTAAAGTACCTGGAGAAGAACTTCTCAGATGCTGAAACCTTGAACCTGGAGCTGAACAAGACGTTGAGGGAAACCAAGTTGGAGCTGGAGTCTGTATCTGCCAGGTGGGATTACAATGTTGGAGAGACACGCTTTTTTTGTAAATCGGACTGCACGGCCTTCTAATTTTTTTGCCAGCTTTTTATCTTTTAATCCCAACTAGAATAAATATTAAATTCCCCCCTTTATTATTTAAGAGATGTCATCTTACAGAAAATAAATTCATGTATCCTTTTTTTCTTTAAGTGAAATACAGCTTTAAAATTCGAGGTAGATCTTTATCAAAAATTTTCCTTTTTGATTTGATATGATTTGATTAAAGGTTCCAAAATCTCTTCCCTCCCCCCCCCCCCTTCATCCCCTGGTGACATGAGGAAATGTAAGAAAAAACTAAAATCTTATCATTATTGTGTTTAAAATGAATTATGATGTATGTGTTTAGATATGAGATAATGAAGGAGAAATACGATGCACTTTGTATAACAGAGAAGGAACTTCAGGAAAAATGGAAACTATTAGAGGTAACTTTCAGCCTTTCAGGGATTACATTTTTCTACGAATAATGGACTAACAGGACAAGGTGTGAAGGTGGTGGGGTATCTGTGGTCTAGGATTCAGACTGTAGAGCTAAGGGGATTAAACGAGAGATGTAGAGCATTAAAAGGGATTATATATTTAGAATGGATTAAGGATTCAGGCTAAATGGATCAAAGGAGATGTGTAGACAATACTACTGAAAGGGATATTATAGGATGGATCCAGGATTCAGACTGAGGAGCTAAAGGGATTAAAGGAGAGGCGTTAAGTACTAAAAGGGATTATATATTTAGAATGGATCAAGGATTCAGGCTAAATGGATCAAAGAAGATGTGTCGACAATACTACTAAAAAGGATAGAATATTCAGGATGGATCCAGGATCCAGATTGAAGAGCTAAAGGGATTAAAAGAATAGGTGTAAAGTACTTAAAGGGATTGTGTAGTCAGGATGGATCCAGGATTCAGTCTGAAGAGCTAAAGGGATTAAAGGAAAGGTGCAGAGTACTAAAAGGGATTGTATATTTAGGATGGATCCAGGATTCAAACTGAGGAGCTGAAGGGATTAAAGGAGTGGTAGTAGACTACTAAAAAGGATTGTATATTTAGGATGGATCCAGGATTCAAACTGAGGAGCTAAAGGGATTAAAGGAGTAGTAGTAGACTACTAAAAAGGATTGTATATTTAGGATGGATTCAGGATTCAAACTGAGGAGCTGAAGGGATTAAAGGAAAGGTGTAGAATACTAAAAAGGATTGTATATTTAGGATGGATCAAGGATTCAGACTGAGGAGCTAAAGGGATTAAAGGAAAGGTGTAGAATACTAGAAGGGATTGTATATTTAGGATGGATCAAGGATTCAGACTGAGGAACTAAAGGGATTAAAGGAAAGGTGCAGAGTACTAGAAGGGATTGTATATTTAGGATGGACCCAGGATTCAGACTGAGGAGCTAAAGGGATTAAAGGAAAGGTGTAGAATACTAAAAAGGATTGTATATTTAGGATGGATCCAGGATTCAAACTGAGGAGCTAAAGGGATTAAAGGAAAGGTGTCGAGTACTGGAAGGAGAACACCAAGATAGTGATGTGAAGATGGAACTAGCTGTTAACAGAAAGGAAACGGAAAATAAGGTTAGTTTTGTGCTTTTCAAGGATTTTGCCAAAAGGGATAGTGAACCGGGTTTTTGAAGGGGTTATTTGAATGAAAATCAAAACCTTTAGGAGTTTTTTTTGTTCCCAAGCTCTTAGTGACCTTCCATTAGTATAGTGGCATGTCTGATTCAAACCAGTACCCTTTCATCCTTTGACTGATCAAAGATGTCTGACTTATCTTCAAAAACGCTTGTAAAGGTTGAACACTGGATTTTCAAGCTGTTATACGTTTTTAAAATATTGATAATTACTTCCTAGAAGTAGCAGAAAACAAATATTTACATTCCACTTTTTGAAAACGCTTTGGACATAAAATATTAATTCAAGGAAAGCATGTAACGTCAGTTGTGTTGAAACTTGAGTCCCCTTTCACGGCAATTCGAATACTATTTGAGAGATAACACACAGAGTTCTCTGGCCTCGATGATCATGGGTATCGCTGTAAAGGTTACCTTGAAATTATGCCTACAATTACTGTAATTTTTCTTATTCTGTATAAATCTTCTTACAAAATTTGGCATGTTTTGTGCCAAATTGGCAAAAATAAGTAATTTGCAGATGATCTAAATCCTGTGTGCGTACTACGCAATGAAACGTGGTTTTTAGGAGCTGCGTAAGGTGCTCGAGTGCGCATATGAAGAGATATCTGTGCTTGAGCGTGGAGATAAAACTGCTGTTAAAGAAAGATTTGATAAAATTGCAAATCTTCAGAGAAAAGTTCAGGTTTGTTAAAATTATCTTTATTCTATCTTTTACGAGTGAAGTATGGAGATAATGGGATTGTAAAATAGAATTTTATTTTAATTTAAATATTTTCTGCGGAGAGTTGTGCGATTTTCGATCAAATGATTTTAGACATAAAAACAATTTCCATTAACCATGAAATTACAAAGCAATTGTCGGCATCAGATTAAAATATTGTTTTAAACCGGGAATTAATAATATATAAATTTGGATTGTTTGTCTGTTTGTATTTAATAAACGTCAAAACGGCTGAACCGATCAGACCGAAGTGTGGCAACTCCCACGACCCAGGGATGGTTTATGGAAACAAAAACGTATTTTGTAATCTATTAATGTTTACAGAAATATTCGCAACTTTGAGTTTTACAATTATGAAACCCTATCTCTGCTGGGGGAGGGAGGGGGGGGACAAATAATATATCATTGCAAAAAATTGAAGAAAAAAAATGTAAAATCCAGTTCAAGATTTAAAAAGTTTGCAACTATAGGTCCAAAAAAATAATAAAATGAATGTACATTTTTAAAAAAGCCCTTTACCATGCCATTTCAAATATGCAAAAACTTTGCAAAATTTTAAATAACCTGATGTGCAATTAAGAAAAACTAAAAATGCGCTAATGTGCAAAAATAATTTTCAAAATTTCTTTGCAAAGCTTGTGAAATCTGATTCCTTATGTCATATGCTTTCTAAAAAGCAAAAACGTATCAAAATTTGACAACAAAAAGTGGGTCAAAACAAATATTTAGTTTGTTATATGAAAAAGTAATCATTCAGGCCTTGTGTCTGAGAACTCAGCCAGTTATTATAAAAGCCCGGTTCTAGACCTATGAGTATTGATTAATTAGGAAAAATCAGAAAATTTTAACAGCCTCAGACCAATACTTTTTGAGTTATGTAAAAAAAAACTGATTAGGAATATGATTTAGAAAAAAAATGGCCACATGAAAAGCAACATTTAAACATTTATATTGCTGCTAAAAGAGGGTCTACCGCGTCCTGAAAGCCTAGTTTGCTAAAAGTCTGTAAATGTAACTTTTGTTAAGGAATTGGAAGAACTGGTTGCTGGGCAGAGCTCCATGGTTTGTGAGCGGAACCAGCTGAAGGAGGACCTCTCCAAGCTCCAGGCCGGGTTCACGGAGGTCTGCGACGAGATGGAGCAGATCTCAGAGGAGAAGCTCAAACTGGAGCAGGAGATAAAGAATTTCAAGACAAACTCAGGAGCAGAACAGGTTTAGTGCTACAATAGATTTTATTGTTTAGATTTTAGGTTTTGTTAAGGTTTTAGTTTTTAGTTTTTGGCTTTCAGTGTGTAGCTTTTAGCCTTTAGCCTTTAGCCTTTAGCTTTTAGCCTTTAGCCTTTAGCCTTTAGCCTTTAGCCTTTAGCCTTTAGCCTTTAGCCTTTAGCCTTTAGCCTTTAGCGTTTTAGTCTTTGTCTTTAGCCTTTCACTAATTCTATTTATTCCCTAGTCTTCAAGCCACTCTTATGTCTCTAGTCCAATATCAAAATATATATAGATTTGCAGTTCAATTTAATATAGTTCAAAACAATACTTGTTCCTAACTATAAAATGTTTCTTGAGTATTTATGTTTGTATCCAGGTTGGTGAGATGGTAGGACGGATTGCTGAGTTGAGTGAGCAGGTTGAGAAGAGTGAGATGAGAGCTGAGAACCTGGAGCTAGGAAACCAATCCCTCCTTAATACCCTGGATCATTTAACCAGGTAAGATGGAATCAATTTATTAAAAATTGAATTAATTATTAATTGAATTTGACCCCTTGTATTGAATTTTCTCTGCGACTGTAAAAGGATTTTAAAGAGGGATACAACCAGTGCTTAGGATCCATTTCATTTTGATGCGGATCTGGATCCTGGATCCGCACTGAAAAAATGGATCCGGATCCAGGTTATTTCCATAAAATGTACTGAATTTTTTTAACAAAGCAAAATTTTCAAATTTTGTTGTCTTATTTTTTTCGCTTATTTTTATCCTAAAACTTGATGAACCATTCGGAATCGGAATATTTTATCTCTGTTTTTTCAATAGTTCATATTTGGGGTTTGAGGGTAAATTTTCTCTTGTTGCAGTTTTTTGTTGATTTTTGCCACTTGGATCCGGATCCGTGGATCCGCATATTTTTGCGGATCCGGATTCAGGAAGCCAAAATCTTGTGGATCCAAAGGATCCGGTCCCGGATCCTAAGCACTGTTCATAACGATACCCTTAAAACGTTCATCTAATTAATATTATAGAAGATAACCCCGTTAAATTTTGATAATTTCTCCATTATTTCCGAAGTAAGAAATGCGCAAGTCGTTTTTGTTAAGAAACCATAAATTGAAATATTCAGTTTTCAAAAAACTTAACATTTTATCAAATTCTTGTTTGATCTGACAAAGCTGTCAAGGGTATCGTTTTGAATCTGAACATGTCACTTGATCAAAAGACGTTTACAAAATTACCCACATTTTTATTCTTTTAAATAAGAAAGAATTTCTATCAAAGATAAAGGGAGGAAACATTGTTCTTAAATTGTTTCTATAAATGCACAACTAGATTTAGTATGCCCAGACATCTATGTCATTTACCTTTTTTATTTGTATTTTTTTTTTGGTGGGGATGGTTTCCCGGGGTGGTTAAGGCACCCTGAGAGTTATATTTGATTTTAATATGATTTAATAATACTAGTATATTGTATATTTGTTATTTTATCATATCTGTTCGGTTCCATAGTAGTAAACCTATCGTGTAAGAATTCCCATTTTTACACGGTTCAAGGGGAACAATTTTAATATTGTTCGCTTACTAGCGTTTAAGAATGCTTATTCTTGAACTGAAGGTGTAGAATTTTCATCAGACCGTGTAAGAATGGAAATTATTTCATGCTCAGAGCGTGAAAAAATTATTCTTACACGCTCCAAGCATTAAAGAATGGAAATTATTACACTTGTTGAAGAATATTCATTCTTACACGCTCCTTATATTGATTGATAGATCAATATTGATATTAACTTAATTATTTTGTAATGACAACATGCACAGGGCAAACTCACCATTTTCTTTCGTATTAATGCATGCAAACTTAACTTTTTAAACTTTAAAACAACATGCTCACTTACCTTTTTCTTAAATATTAAAACATGCAAACTTACCTTTTTTACTTTAGTAAAACATGCTCACTTACCCTTTTTCGTTTTTTAAGTTCTGATATAACTTAATTCAGTAATATCCATTTAGATCTTAACGGTTCTTAACCCTATTCCTATGTATTTAATTAACATTTTCTGAAATTCTAACCTTACCAAAAAAATGGACAATGCTTTAAGCCTTGCAGCATTGTTCATTTTCATCAAACTACCGAGTCTCAAAGCATACTGCCCGACTGCCTACTTTTTTCAACTTGTTTTTAGTTTTTCTTCATTGAAAAACCAAGTTTGGTGAGATTTTGCAAATCTCTGCATATTTGTAATAGTACGGTCAGAGCTGTTAAAAAATGGAGAGGTTTGTCATGTCTTCACAATTTCAATCAATTGTTTTTCACTTTAAATTAAAATTCAGTTGTAATTGTCAAACAAAGTAGACAGAAAAAAGAGGTCGATTTGCCCCCAACCCTACAGATAAAACACGTTTTAAAGTAGCTCAGTCTGAGTCAGTAGTCGCCATATCTCGCATAGCTCGAGATGATGAAGTGAAACCACAATCAAAACCAAAAAAAGTTAATTTTATAAAAACTTATAATTAAAATATTAGTGTCACACTTTTAATGGAGTCTTAGCACTCCATAGCAATGAAAACAAACCAGAAAATCTTGCTTCATGAATAAAATACAAAGATCTTCATCAGTTCATGCCGAACTGATTCTTACTAGATAACCTTCTCTTATCTCCTCTTTTTGGAAGATTTAGGATCTAATATCCAGGAAATTATTTCTTCTGTAAATGAACGCACTATTTTGTTCAGTAGATTAAGACAACCCACTACTATACCTTCACCCCTTCTAAAAAAAACTCAGGGCACATTCAACATGCTGTATCTAAATGTAGTATCAAGTTGAAAAAACAAGTAAAATCATTAGAAATTGATTAACAAACAAACTAAACTAAGGAAACAATCACACCACATGCATTACTTTCAAATTAACCCTATCTCTGCTGGGGTACTTGAAAACCAGGATATGCTGGGGTCAATTTGACCCCCCCCCCCCCTCTAAATCCCAAGTTTGGTGTCCAAATATGACAAATGATACATCATTGGAAAGCTCTTTGCTCTACTTTTAGAATCTGCAAAAAAAATTTGCAAATCTGCAAAAATTGAAATTTTTATCGCAAAATCCAGTTATGTAGTAAAAATGTTTGCAAAAAAAAATTGTCCAAAAAATGAAAAATTATACATTTTTGAAAAGCCCTTGACCATGCCATTTCAAATATGCAAAAAATTTTATTCAAAATTTTAAATAACCTAATTTTTAATCAAGAAAAACTAAAAAAGTGCAAATTTCCTTTGACAGGTTGTTTGCAATAAATTTGAAATAAAAAAAAACATTGTTAGTCAGAACAAGACGGAACAAGAGCATAAAACTTATTTGCAACCTTTCATAATGTAAACTGTTCCAACTTGAAATATTCGGATTTCACCAGAATTATTTTTTAATATAATTTCTTGGGTATGTGCCATGGAACCTCACAAAAGTTATAAAAAATTTTCCATTTTAAAATTATTTCCGGATTCTGAATATCTTTACTTCTTAGACAGCAAGAGGAGATGAGGAGTAGAATTGAAGAACTTTCAGAGCTGTCGTCTAGGTAAGCTAAAATGCTGTAATCATCTTCTGAATATTTAAGACTGTAAGACTGTGTTTTTAATCAAATGCAATACCCCCAGCGAGATAGGCCATGATTATAATGGAACGGCATGCTTTATTTGGTGAAAATGGTTTTAACTGCTATCTTACGATGCTCGTTTTAACTATTTCAGTTAAGGATTAAATAAAAAATGTTTCCCCTTGGAGTTATGGTAACCTTTGTATCCTTAACAGATTAAACTTACTTTAAGTGCCATTTCTCACAAGTTTTGTAGCAATTTTTGGTCTATTAAATACGGGAGGGGTGTATATTCTGTTCAAAAATAAATTATAGGAAGTTAAAGGGAGTGACCGGCTATGTAAGGTAGTTGAACTGAGTATGCAGTGTTCTGGAAAACTTCTTTCGGATTCAATTGAGACATTTTTAACTATTTAAAGATCTGAAAATCCCGAGTGTGAGCGCAAATTTGACGTTTTTCCATACCCCCTTTTTGAAAACAATTTTTCCCCTGTATTTTAGAAAATAAATATTTTTGGGGAGAAAGTATCGAAAAGGACGAAAAACTATTATTTTCCCCCAAGAGCATTGCAAATATATACATCTGAATTACAGCAAAGAAAGTTATTCAAGATAAATATTATGCTAACATTAATATTTACTGTTCAGGTTGGAGAACAGTAATTCAGAGTTCCAAACTGAGATTCTTCAACTTAGGTTAGATTTGGTTATCAATATAATATTATTACAGTGGGACCCCTAACAATGTGAATTATAAAGACGACATGTTTGCAATCTTATGTGTATTGATGTTATAAAGCAAATATTGCACAATTGCTGGGTGTTTTATTCATTGGACTAATCTAAACCCTAACTTGAGTGTAGAAGTTGTCTCCCTGTCTCACAAACTTTTTTCTCCCTGTCAAAGCTTTTATCTCTACTTCGGCTGCATAAGAAATTGATTTATGTTTTACTTTTTGGCGATTTGGAGAGAAAAATGTTTTTTAAGAGAAAAAATAACTTTCCATTAATGTCCAATTATTTTGTTCATATTTGAACAGCTTGTTAGGAATGAATGAATGTACTTCCCTGTTTAATACATGCATATCTTCTTTTATTTAGGGATGAACTTCAAATGGTTAGACAGGAAAGAGATAAGGCCCTGCAAGAGAAGATGAAGATGGAAGAGGAGAAAACCTTAAATGAGGAGAAGTCCAAGAATGAGGCAGAGGGTGGAGAAGATATGAAAATAAAACAGATGATGACTGAAAATCTGGATGGTATTGAAAGAGCAAAGATGGATCTGGAAAACGAAAAAGAAATGCTCAAGGAATTAAGATCACAGTTGGAAGAAGAGCAGAGAAAATTTGAAGAAGAAAAGGCATCATGGGAGGATGGTAAACTGCATCAACAGATTGTTCAGACCAGTGATGCAACATCTATTAATGAAAAAGTAGAGGAAGAAAAGAAGAAATGGGAAGAAGAAAGGAAGACTCTTTCAGATGATATAAAAATTCTCATCAAAGAAAAGGAAGCTCTTTCTGAAGAAAATGAATTTCTTATCAGAAAAATGGAAACTCTCTCTAAAGAGAAGACCACTCTCGTTGAAAAGAATGATGGCCTCTCCCAGGAAAAGAAAACACTTTCTGAAGAAAAGAACAGATTGTTGGTAGAAAAGGAAACTCTCTCTGAAGAAAAGAAAAGCCTTACTGAAGAAAAGAATAGCCTTACTGAAGAAAAGAACAGATTGTTGGTAGAAAAGAAAACTCTCTCTGAAGAAAAGAATAGCCTTACTGAAGAAAAGAACAGATTGTTGGAAGAAAAGAAAACTCTCTCTGAAGAAAAGAATAGCCTTACTGAAGAAAAGAACAAATTGTTGGTAGAAAAGAAAACTCTTTTTGAAGAAAAAATTAGTCTTATTAAAGAAAAAGAAACTCTTTTTGAAGAAAATAATAGTCTTGATAAAGAAAAGAAAACTCTTCTACAACTTTTAGAAGAAAAGAATAGTCTCATTGAGGAAAATGAATTGCTGTTCAAGGAAAAGACTAGCCTGACTGAAGAAAAGAAAAGTCTTGTTGAAGAAAATAATTGTCTTATCAAAGAAATGGAAACTTTCTCTGAACAAAGAAATAGTCTCATTGAAGAAAATAAAACTCTTTCCGAGGAGAAGAAAACTCTTACTGAAGAACAGACCAGATTGTTGGAAGAAATTAAAGTTGTCGAAGAAAAGAGACAGTTGTGTCTTGAAGATCTGAGCAAGGCAGAGGAAAACATTAGTGTTATAACAGCTGAAAGTACAGACAGGGAGATAAAGATTAGTGAACACGAAGACCAGTTTAAAATACTCAATGCTCAAATACAAGATAAAGACGTACAGATTCAAGAACAGAACGCACAGATTCATGAGCTGAAAGCAGAGATACTTAATCATACTGCCAGCCTGGAGAACCAGAATATTAAGCTACAAGGGAAATCTTCTCAGATTCTAGATCTAGAAAGTAAGGTGGATGTTCTCACATCTAAACTCAACAAATCTGAGATGTTGCGTTCTGAGGTAATTGCGGAACAGGAGCAGGATCGGGAAGAGATCAAGAAGCTTGTTACTGCCAACACCAATCTAGAATCTGAGATTGATCTGCTCAGGGCAGAGCAAGGCAGGGAGAACAACTCTGCTAAAAAGAAAGCCCTTGCTACCCTGAACGCCACGCTATCCAACCTGGAGGAAACTCTTCAGACTGGACTAGATGAAACTATGGCCCCAAATGGAGAACAGACAATGAACGCAACTATAGGAAATATCACCATTGGTCCAGGTGAGATGGCTGAAATGAGAAACCAATTGTTAGCTCTTCAGGAACAGTTAATTCATTTTGATTTTGAAGATTACGAGACTAAAAAGAATGAAAACAAGAAACTGATTGCAGAGATGTCTGAGTTAAAAAAGAAGATATCTTACTTGGAACAATCAGCCTCCAGAGCTGCTGAGGTACAGGAGAAAATAGTTGATGAACTCACAGAGAAACATAGGATCCAGGTCAGTATTATATCCACAAAGATGAGGGAGGAGTTGAATATAAACCTGCCTGCTCTTGAGGATAGAATAAGGGAGGAAATGAATGAGAAGAGAGCGTCTGAAGTTAGCCAGCTCAAATCCCTATACGAGAAAGAGATTGCAGACTTAAAGCAGGCTGCTGGTCTGTCCATTAATAAGTTAAACATAAGCCCAAACCATGCATTGGTAGATACGAGTTTTGATGAAACTATCAACCTTGGCACAAACCAGAACTTTGGTGGAAATCAATTCGCCCTATTTCAATCAGGACCTGGAGAATCACTTGAGGTGCAAATGCTCAGGGGAGAGTTAAATACTCTCAGGGAGGAGTTGGAACATAAGAAGAGTGAACTTGAAGAGTTTAAACAAATGGAACAAATTAAAACCTCGACAGAGCTCTGTATGGGTAGTCCAACTGATCTTGATGATGCCAATGCTAAGATTGTAAGATTAAATGAAACCATTAGCAACATGGATTCCTCTCCTGAACCAGGAAAGTTTGAAGAGTTAGCTCTACTAGGGAAAGAAGCTAGTTTGGACCAGTCAACTGATGAAATCAAGATTTTAAAGAGAGACCTTGATGCTGCTTTAGCTGAGTTGCGAAGGATAAATGAAGAAAGAGAAAACTGCTCTTTAAAATCCCAGACTGATGCAAATCTTGACAATCTTAATGAATCGGCAAATAACTATTCTGATCTTAAAGAAAAATTTGACAATATATCAGAACATCTGGAAATGGTGAAAAAAGAGAATTCAGAACTTAAATATGAAATTGATGAACTGAATTCCCTAAAGTTGCAGCTAGAATCAGAGCTGGCCAAAGTGCAAGAGGAGTTCTCAGCTTTAGAGATTGAGCATGCATCTGTAGAAGAATCAGCTGAACAGGTTCAACAGAGCGCTGAACAGCTTATCCAGACAAATGAGGATTTAAACTCTAGGGTGGAAGATCTGGAAAAGACAAATATTAAACTGAGCCAAGAATTATCAGATTGCAACAATAAAATGGATGAAATGAGATTAGAATTTGAAGACGTAGTGTCAGAACAGGTTGATATTGTCACCTACGAGCTGACGAACACAGCTGAAGCTCTAAAAAAAGAAGTAGAGGTTTTGAAGTTGGAGAAATCTACTCTGGAGGAGGATAAGCTTCGCCTTGACAGTAGAATAAATGAACTTGAAGCTGTTGAGGTGGAACTCAAAATGTTGAAGGATTCAGAGATTGAACTTAAGGAACAAATAATGCTTCTTCAAGTAACCCTTAACTCTACTCAAACTCTTCTTAATGATGAAAAGACTTCAAATGAAATTAACATGAGAAGTAAAGTAGAACTGGAAACTTTGAAAGACCTTTTACAAGAGGAGATTAACAATCTTCAGACCAAGATAGACGACCTGGAAAATCAAGTTGTTGTTCAAGAAACTCTCATGGACAAACTTGAGAGTGAGGTTTATCTAAGAAAAGAACTGGAAATAAGAGTTATGGAAAACAACATGTATATTACAGACCTTAAGAAGGAGGTCCACAGGTTACAAGCTGTTCCTAAGGATACATTGAGGCTTGGCAATAATATGGAAGAAAATGAGGAAGACTCAGAATTGTCAGTAGAAGAACAACTGGCTCAAGCTCTGAAAAAGATAAAGGTAAAAAATCTTAACTAATAAGTCATTATGTGCCATAACCCTAGTTTTTATATGAAAAATATTAAAACAATTATGATCTCTGATTTTAAGAACATTTTTTTGGGCGGGGGAAAGAGGGTTTTATTACTAAAATCAATTAATAAAAAGTGTACGCTAGATTTTGGAAGAGACTAGAATGTCTGCATATAAACAGTACAAAGAGATTGAAGAGATATATGAGAAGGAATGCGACAAGTTGGAGGAAGAAAGGGACCAAGTTAAGAAGGAAAAAGAAAGGTAAAAGTCCACTGAAATTTGATAATAAATTACCTCTTGAGCTCGATCGGTTCAGTTGTTTTGACATTTATTGGATGCAACGAGGGGAGGAAGACCAACCACATCAATCTCTAGTCCGAACCACATTCTCCTCTTTTTCTCGTCCGAACCACCTCGGAATCCTCGTCCTTCGATTTTTTTTGTGTTAAAAAGTTTCCAATTCTTGAAGATAAAACTTTTTTTTAAATCTGGTCACGTTAGGGCATAAACTATGGATGGACTAAAGTATTGCAATGATTATATCATGTTGGAATCTTCAAACCCATGAGAATGATGTCAAACTTTATTTAGGTAAAACTTAAATCTCTCCTGCCTCCGTAATAGCTAACCTTCGTGATATGAAAAAAATAGCAAAATATTCGGCATACCTCTGCCTATAATTTTCCCCATGGAACCACCCTGAAAAATTCTATGGTTTTCACTAAAGTTAACAAAAAAGATTGAAGTTCTATAAACTTGGCATTATTTGCGGCATTCTACACCAGGAATATCTGAAAATGCGCGTAAAAAAATTGAACATTTTAAAGACATTAAACTTGAAATTTTTAATTCAATTGAAACTTTTTTTTCGATTTACACACAAATTTGATATTTCATTTATGCCCTAACGTGGCCTAATTCTTTAAAAATAGTTTTATCTAGAAGGAATAGACACATTAAAAAAGTAATATTAAAAAGACTAGGATTTCGAGGTGGTTCGGGCGTGAAAATGAGGAGAATGTGGGTCGGACTAGAGATTGATGTGGTTGGCCTTCCTCCCCACATGCAACAAACAGACTTGCCGTAAATATATGTATTTTAGTTATAGACTAGCTTAGGAGTCCAGCGTTGCCCAGGGTACTCATAGTTACTCCCGCCGTTTACTTGCACTTTTACCGGGAAACTTGATTTTCGCTTTTAAAGTCGACCCAATCAACTTAGAATCTCAAACCAAACTAAGAACACTACCGTGGTTCTCCCTAGTTACGCAATCAAAATTTGAGGCAAATCGGTCTAGGGGTTCCTGAGTTGTGATCGGGCAAACAAACAAACAGACACCCAAACAAAGATTACAATAACTTTTTATCTAGAGAACTTTATTTCAGACTTGCCGAAGAACTGGACGAAACTAAGAAAAGGTTTAATGAAACTCAAGTTATGATTGAAACAATGAAAGATACTTCTAAACACAAGCATAAAACTAGCAGCGAGGAGGAGGAAGAGGAGGAAGAGGAGGAAAATCTTAGGGATAAACTAATAAAGACGGAGGAAGACGTTAAGGTACAGGGTTACCCACAAAGAATTAGACTTCAGAGACGACAGTATGGGATTGATACTGTCTGTTTCCTTTTTTCTTTCTCTTTCAAATCATTAAATAAGCCATTAAATAATTATATAATTATATGAAAGGTAGAAGACTTGTGGTGTCATAGAAACTATTGTGTCTACAGAGTGAACAGTTTAGAGAATTTAGATTTCTGAAGAGAGGGTATGGAATATCGCATGCGTTCTTGGTTAGACAAAGGGTTTTAGTAACCTTCTGAATTTGGACATGCCACTCAGCAAAGTAAGGGTCCCTTGAAAATACATGCCCAGTCCTTTTGAATTATTGTATGTAACAAAAAAACCGTGATTACTGATTAGTTCCAGTGAACACTGAAAAAAATATTGAAAAAAAAGGAACCTTATTGGTTAGAAGAATATTTCTTGAATTATTTCAGGCTCATTGGTATTGAAACGTGTTTAGTAGGGCTAGGGCGTCCCTAAAAGTTTGATTTGTTCTTTCAAAATGTGAAAAACTCCTTCAAATTGTTTCAGAGATTTTATTTTTATTTTTGTCCGTGTTGCTAGATGTACCGTAGTCGAGTTGAAGCAGCGATGAAGAATTATCAGGCTAACGAAGATTTCTATGAGAAAGAATGCAATAAACTGGAAAGTGAACGAGATGCGGCAAGACTAGAGAAGACCAGGTACTTTGTAATATTTAAACAAGGAGTTTGTCATATTCCTATCAGTGTCTTATAAGAAAAATTCTTTGTCAGTTTGTGGTGTTAGAAACCGAAAGTGGCGACCTGGAAAAATATCGGATTCTCAAAGCATTGAATTAAACCTGTAAACTTTTTAAAATCAATACCAATTGCCTCAGTGCGAGTTGTAATTCATTATTTTAGTCCTGAATTTGTTAGATCACTTTGTGATTGATGTGTGGAAATAGGACGTCCCTGAAAGTGATTTGAGTTGGGATGAGTTGAGTTGAGTTGAGTTGAGTTGAGTTAAGCTGATCTCCATCTCCAATCATTTTGTAAACATTTTATAAACATTTTGTTAAAATTTAAATTTTTTATAAAAACTTTAGATCATTCTTTTAAAAATATATCTCAAGACTGTAATGTATGTCTGCCCAGCTGGGGGAAAAAAATGATTTTATTCTCAAATTTTCAGTGAGAACTAGGACATAAATCATTATATATAAATGAACATATGTTTTGTTAAGACTTGAGGAGGAACTAAAACAGGTTCGCTCTCTTCTAACTGGGTCCTCCAACACTTCTCCGTTCTCAGTCTGTCATTCAGAGGTAAACTTTTCAAGGGAATAGCAGGAAATTTAGAAAGGGTCCAGATAAAAAAGATTACTTATAGTTCAGGTTTAATATACTTTTATTTATATTTATTTATTTGATCATCTTCATAATCTTCTTCATATTCTTTATAATATTCAATATCTTCTTCTGGATCAGTTTAATCATCTTGATCATTTTGATCATCTTGATCATTTTGATCATCTTGATGATTTTGATCATCTTGATCATTTTGATCATCTTGATCAGTTAGATCATCTTAATCAATTTAATCATCTTGATCAGTTTGAACATCATGATCAGTTTGATCATCTTGATCAGTGTGATTTGATTTGATCAGTTAGGTTATCTTGATAAACGGATATTATGATTGTTGTAGCATGTCACTGAAAAATTGTCCTAGCTCAAAAAGTTTCAGGACTTCGCAGGAATTTTAGATTTATTTTCTTAATTCTTTTTTTATATATATGACCATTGTTCAGGAGAAAACGATTATTGGAAACTCTGATATGGACTTCACCCGGGTTGCAGGTAAGTTTCAAAGAGGAGGAGAGACCTCACAAGTTACAACGGGTGAAAAGTTTTTTCCAACTGTTTTTGCACCCTTACTAAATATTTACTTCACTGAAGACGTATGTTAGGTGTGTAAATTTCAACACTCTTTGGAGGAATGTTTTGGGATTCTGAAAGAAATCCTTTATTCCTTATAATTGCCTCCTTAAAGGAACTACAAACGTAATTTCTTGTAAATTTTAATTTAAAAGCTCAGTTTGATCAAAAAAGCACGAGATGTCTAACTTTTTATTTTAGAAAATTTATTTTTTCTCTTGTGGTTTCTCTATTAAGTCAATGAATTTAAAATATAAATATATGAAGTGACTAACGCATTTCTTCTTCATAAATAAAGGCAAAATTCTAGAACACATATCAAGAAAAACGACGATCTCTTCCCCATATTCGATCAAATAATGGTTCTAGGGTGCCCCGCTGTAGACGAAAAGTTCATTTAAAATTGGAGGGACTGTAGGCGTAATTTCAAGTTATTTGTTCATTGAGTAAACAGAGCTTTATTTAAATATCTTAAAAACCACTTGAATCCCTCAAAAACGCTGTGTACAGTTTGACCTCAAAACAGCTGATGCGCTACCTGTGTACAGTTTGACCTCAACACAGCTGATGCGCTACCTGTGTACAGTTTGACCTCAACACAGCTGATGCGCTACCTGTGTAACTTGACATTATCGAATATTTTACATTTAGAACGGACCAACCCCCACAACATTGAATATTGATCAGTCTAACGCTTTTAGGGTACCGTTGTAAATCGGACATTTCCACTTTTGCTTGGAGGCTCACTTGAAATTACGCATACAGTCCCTTTAAGCATAAAAGTTAATTAGATCAGCAATTATCATGCACCGTGCAGTAAAATGTAAAATTACAGGAGAAGGATCTGAAACTGTATCTCAAGTGTGGAGGGAGGAGAAGATGAGATTAGAAAATGAACTCAAGAAGATGGAAGAGATTAAGCTAAATCTTGAGATTGAGATTCAAGATCTAAGGAAGGATGTTCCAGTAGAAACCAAGGTGATTTTTTTATCAGCAATTCTTGGCGCTTCAGACCATTCGGGTTGCTTTCAATCTTTAGGTTATTTTCCTTTCATTTTCACCTTGTACAATGTTGATATTAGAGGTGTTTGAGCAAAGTTGCTTCAATGAAATCAATTTTATGGCATTTAATGGTTTTAACGAGTTTTTTAAATAGTTTTAAGAGTAGTGAGAACATTAAGCCCTTTTCATATCTACCTTTGTAATATTTTAATGTAAACAATATTTAATAGCCATAGGGAAGGGGTTTAGATAGTTATAAAAAGAAAAAAAATGTCCAAAAATGGCGACGAAAATATGCAACTTTGAACAGAAAATTCACGAAATAAAATTGTCACTAGAACAGGAGCGCCTTGAAGCCTAGCAGGTGTAAATATCACTGAAAAGACTTATTCTTTGTAATTAACCCTGTATATTGTCAAGGTTGAGTTGGAAAGGTTAAGGAAGGAGCTTGAAGAGCAGAAGAAAACCTGTGAGAAAATTCAGAGGGAAAACGCAGAACCATCTTCTCAGATACAACATCCTGACCAATCTGAAGAGGTTAGATTTTGATAGTTGACAGGGAGACCCAACAAACATGAAAATTAAGATTTCTGATTATTTGGGATCAGTGAGATCACGCATTGATCTCTAGAGATTTATTTAATTCCGCTTCGATATCCTGCGATGGTCATACCCTGCATGGATAACTTCTATTCAGAGATCAAGCATTGATCCTCAAATTTAGAAGTATCTTTATTGGATATCGAGATCGAGCGTTTAAGATTTTTTTCTTCTTTTTCATGATCATTGTTCAATGGACTGATTTCAAATCACAACTTGAGTCAAACCACAGTTTTATGAGTCTCTCTGTATCTTAGGTTGTGGCCCTGAAATCCAGACTGAAGGAGGTGATGTCCAAGTTGGGTAAAAAGAACGCCGAGTACGCCAGCTTGAAGGTGGATGTGGACAGGGAGCATCTCCCTTACCAGATCAAAAATAAACAACTAGAGGTATTTTTTACATTTTTGTGAAAAACTTCTTTTGTATCAGGAACTGTTTGCCCTGAGGCCCCAAATAAAGACCGACCTCAAATTCAAGCAACTCAAGGGTTAAATAAATATTTCGAAAAAAATAACCTTAAAACTATAAAAGATAAAAAATTTGACCATTACCTACCTAATCCAAATACTGAACTGCAAAAGCTCAGATTTTTCAGATTGTTAACGTTGTATTTCTGTACTGTACTGCAGAATTTCCGGCCACGGACTCTGTTTCCGTTGTCCAACTTTACTTTGTCATTATCAACAGGGTCAAGGAGCAACGCTTTGAAAACTGCCAATAATTTTCTTAAGCCTGTGTTGCCGCAGTAATCATCCAAGAAACCATGATGAATATTGTATTGGTTTGTTTACATTCTCCCTTCCTGCCTTTTCACGGTTATAAGACGCAAACTTTCACATACCCCCACCCTACCCCCCACTGCACTAAATACTTTCTTTTGATCTCCTACAATTGCAGTACACAGATTTGTAACATTAAATATGATGGTTTCTAGTCAATAAATAGTTTGCTTAAGCAGGGTGATTTGGTTTGGTTTGATTTGGATTTGGATTTGGATTTGGATTTGGATTTGGATAATCAGGTAAGAGTGATAATGTGAATACTAAACCTAGAGTACACTCCAGTTCAACTAATACCAGTATCAGGTAACAGTGCTAATGTGGTGAATACTGAACCTAGAGTACACTCCAGTTCAACTTACACTAGTATCGGGTTACAGTGCTAATGGGGTGAATATTAAACCTAGAGTACACTCCAGTTTAACTTATACTAGTATCGGGTAACAGTGCTAGTATGGTGAATACTAAACCTAGAGTACACTCCAGTTCATTTTACACTAGTATCGGGTAACAGTGCTAATATGGTGAATACTAAACCTAGAGTACACTCCAGTTCAACTTACACTAGTATCGGATAACAGTGCTAATTTGATGAATACTAAACCTAGAGTACACTCCAGTTCAACTGATACCAGTATCAGGTAACAGTGCTAATATTGTGAATACTAAACCTAGAGTACACTCTAGTTCAACTACTACCAGTATCAGGTAACAGTGCTAATGTGGTGAATACTAAACCTAGAGTACACTCTAGTTCAACTAATACCAGTATCAGGTAAGAGTGATAATATGAATACTAAACCTAGAGTACACTCCAGTTCAACTAATACCAGTATCAGGTAACAGTGCTCATGTGGTGAATACTGAACCTAGAGTACACTCCAGTTCAACTTACACTAGTATCGGGTTACAGTGTTAATGTGTTGAATACTAAACCTAGAGTACACTCCAGTTCAACTTATACCAGTATTAGGTAACAGTGCTAATGTGGTGAATACTAAACCTAGAGCACACTCCAGTTCAACTTATACTAGTATCGGGTAACAGTGCTAATATTGTGAATACTAAACTTATAGTACACTCCAGTTCAACTAATACCAGTATCAGGTAACAGTGCTAATGTGGTGAATACTAAACCTAGAGTACACTCCAGTTCAACTTATACCAGTATCAGGTAACAGTGCTAATGGGGTGAATACTAAATCTTGAGTACACTCCAGTTCAACTAATACCAGTATCAGGTAACAGTGCTAATGGGGTGAATACTAAACCTAGAGTACACTCCAGTTCAACTTATACCAGTATCAGGTAACAGTGCTAATATGGTGAATACTAAACCTAGAGTACATTCCAGTTCAACTAATACTAGTATCAGGTAACAGTGTTAATGTGGTGAATACTAAACCTAGATTACACTCCAGTTCAACTAATACCAGTATCAGGTAACAGTGTTAATATGGTGAATACTAAACCTAGAGTACACTCCAGTTCAACTAATACCAATATCAGATAACAGTGCTAATGTGATGAATACTAAACCTAGAGTACACTCCAGTTTAACTAATACCAGTATCAGGTAACAGTTTGCCAACCACAGGAAATATCTTCTTGACTCCCCTGGCTGGGGAAAAGCTAGTTGGGGGAGGAGGGGGGGGGTTAAAGGTCCGGTATTGGGACGGGTGTGGGATAATGCTTCCTACACCTTGCTGCAGTCTAAATCCATCTTTCTGAAACAAAATAGTTGAATGCAGATCTGATTTTTCTCGCATGAATATTTTTATAAATGATTTTCTCTTGTTCTTAAAGTATGCTATCAAATCCAGGATTGATATGCTTGATATTCTCAAGTTAGAATCCCAGGGAGCTTACTGTTTCCACCATGAGGGTGATAAAGGTGAAGCTTCTGAAGGCTTTACTTACACTGATGCTGTCCTTATAGAACAAACTTAATTTAGAGCTTTCTGAGATAACGTTTTGTATAACCTTCAAGGATATTTCCAGTCATTGGGCAATCGTATAGCAATGCTTGTAAAAGTAATATAGGAGAAGATATTGTTTAAAGCAATTCAGATCTGACTGAACATGAACATTAGAACCATTAAAACTAGTTTCACAGGCTCCAGATTGATTCCTTGTTATGAATGGGTTCATACAAACTAGGAGAATAAGGAAGTCTTTACACTGTTCTTCTTCCGTGGATTAACTTGAATATCTTGATGTTTCTACTGAATAGTTGTGGCATCTAGTTTTAGGATTATCAGGGTCAAGCATGCTTTTTTTAATGCTTACTTCACACTGTGCCTTTTTCTTATTCTAGGATAGACCAAGAATACAATCAATACCTTAGATCCGCAGGTATTCATGCAGACATCTTTCACCAGGGCACCTCATTTATACACTAGTATTGTTTAATCTTATTAATTCCAGCAGAGCAAGAGCTCTAATCAGTCACGGTTAGATAATACACAACTAAAAATATCACGGTCATTTAACATGAAGGGTATTGAGCTTTAACTTTCAATATGTCTTATCAATTGTTCACATCTTCGAAAAGTTATTCACTTTGATCACAAGAAGCTAATTTATACCTATTGTTGTTCCAACAGAGACTGGGGAATAGTAGGTACATTTGAGATCATCGAATTCGAATTTGTATGATTGCTACTTTCTTCGGTATGAGTCGTTACAACCATTTTTCTCCTTATAGACACAAAAGATAGAAGTAAGATTTGTAGAGATCAAAAGCGCTAAATTTTTCGCCGTAAGCCTATACCCCATTTCATCCCTTCTGATTGGAAGTTAGAAATGGCAAAGTTTTACCACATCAGGTTGCAACGATACATGGATGATTAATTATCAAAGCACTATGTTTTGCAAGTTTTTAGAAGTTTTCATCCCACTATTTGTTAACATACCTGAAAGTATTATTTTTAGTTCCAATAAATGATTTTGTTTCTGATTCTTATTTTGAATATCCTGTATGTTTAGTGGAAGCCCTCAGTGGACAAGTGGATCTGGAACTATCAAAGAAATTCGCCTTTATGAACTAGAGCATAAAACCAGGTAAAGGATTATGACAACCCCCCTCCGACGAATATGTAAAATGTTAATATATGTCAATTGAGATAGTTTCTAAGGAAAAATATAATAGTATAGTATAGTAATTGTATAAGTCAGGAGATATCTCTTCTTAGCTTAGTCTAGAATATTTCGATGTAAAAAAGCTCTTCGCTCTTATTTTTAAATATATTTATATGTTAGCTATAGCTGGCTAAACGGCTGGACCAAATTGGCTGAATTTTTTTTCAGGAAACCTAATGGTACCCTTGAGGTAACAAAGGCAAATAAACGATTTTGTTTCTCAATTTCGAATTTGTCTTCTTTGTCAAAATTTAAAATTCTTTTTTAGCTGTTACTTAAATTCCACGGGCAACACTGGCATTTCAGCGAGTATTACATATAATGAAAATAGGGTAGGGGGAAAGTAACTTATTATTCCTCGGTACTTGAATTGATTTTACAAATGTTCTAATTTAGGAGATTAGAGAAAGAAAATGCTAATTTAAAGTTGAGGGAGGAGTTCTATATTAACAAAGGATCTGAATGGAAAGGTCGTGCTAAGAGGTAAACACTAATTATATCATTACATCTACCGAGCGGGATGAGTTTGAATATCAGGATGAGGTCTGCCAACCTGTTGGTGTGGCAGATGTCATGGAGGTAATCAAATCCCTTAAGATCGACAGGGCTCCTGGTATAGATAATGTCACACTATAGAAGTCTTAATAACTCAGGATGATAACATATTTTCACAAGTTTATTTATTCATATGTTACTCGTTTAACATACTAAGAATGACTAGTGTAAAATCCGAGATTGAACAAGTTTGTGAAATATCAGTGAAACTGTTTGCGAATTTATGCAAACTCAATTCTAATTTTAACATGTAGGACAAAATCATATTTTCTTATAACTAAAAGTCAGGCTTCTACAGTTCTCCCTCCCAAGTTTCAGGCATGGTGCAGCAGGACTGATACTGAAAATAATCCATTAGAAACTGCTACTTTCTTGGGACGACCCTTATTTGGAGGTTCTTCTAGAGTAGGTGCATCAATTGAGATCACTGCTTTCAGCCTGTCTATTGAGACATTATCTTCACGATTACCAATTTTAATTTTAAAATATTTAGATTTCTTTTCTAATACTTTAAAAGGTCCTCTGTAGAGTGGAGATAGAGGGGGAACATGACCATCCTGTCTAATAAATACACACTCTGCTTGTTGCAATGATATTGGAATCTTTTGAGTGTGTATTGTTGTAGGATGGTTGTGATGTGGAGTAGTTGAAAATCCTGTTATTGCTGAATCAATCTTTCTGAGAAATATTTCTGGTGGGTATTCTTCTGCATCTAGAAATTCTCCTGGTAGGCATAGAGGTGATCCATAAACAGCCTCCGAGGCTAATCGACAGGGCTCCTGGTATAGATAATGTCACACCCACTATGTTAAAAAGTGCGAGCATATCTTTTATAGGGAAATTGACTGAGGTAGTGAATGAGTCCCTGGCGGAGGGTAAGGTTCCAACTTCCCTTCTAGTGGGTAAAATGACCCTTATTGACAAAAACGAACCGTCGCTAGATGTGGCTAAGAAACGACCCATCACAGTTTCAAGTGTGATGCTTAGTATGGTTACCAAAATAGTCCAGAAGCGAATGAATTCTGTCTGTGAAAGGGAAGGCTTCTATGGACCGGTTCAGTATGGTTTCAGAAGTAGAAAGTCAACGGTGGACTGTGTGTTTATGATACTGGCTGCATTGCGTAAGGCAAAAAGGAAGCACCAGTCTATCTCTTTGGCTTTCTGTGATATTGCGAAAGCTTATGACTCAGTTTGCCAGGAGCTACTCTACACAAAGCTTAGGAGTATTGGCTTTGGAGGAAGGGTAGTGTCCCTTATTCGTTCTATGTACTTCAATGACTGTGTGCGGATTAACTTAGCACATGGATTGTCAGAACAGTTGTTTTTCACCCAAGGGGTTAAGCATGGGTGCAGCCTCTCCCCTTTACTGTTTGCACTTTATATTGCCTCCCTAGGGCTAGCTCTGGACAGTTCTAAGCTCGGAGTTAAGCTAGGGAAAGCTATGATAACAGCTATCTTTTTCGTGGACGACCTGCTCTTGCTATCTAGAACCCCTAAAAGAGGAATGAATAAGCTTCTTAGAATTGTCTCAAGATTCTGCACGGAAATTCGCATGAAGCTTGCCACCTCTAAGACTTACATCCTTACCAATGCCCCAAATGAGACCTCCTGGAAGGTAGATAACGTCACTATTGAAGAGATTTTAGTGGCCAAGTATTTAGGGGTGACTATCCAGGTACGTGGCAGGTCTCTGATAGGGGGGTATGAAAAGGACATGATCCGGAAGGCCACTAATTATGCTTATGCCATTATGAACATATCAAGGGGGATTCTTGATAGGGCCATGGTTGCCAAGAGACTCTGGGAGTCGTGCACCATCCCTTCAATCCTGTACTGTGTGGAGGCTGTGACTCTTAAGAAAGCTACTATTGTAGAGCTAGATAGACTACAATGCATGGTAGGTAGGTTTATCCTGCAGATACCTCACTCATCCTCTAAGGTGCTTACCTGGATGGATGCGGGCCTCATGCCTATGGCACACAGAATTCAGACCAGACAAGCTTTGTTCATCTGGAGTATTCTGAAATCCAAGCTCAATATCCTCCTAATGGAGGTGCTACGGGATCTGCTTGATCATCCTACAGACCCATGGTTGAAATCCTGGATGGAGATTCAGAAGGATGTTGGGTCCATTGCAATGTTCAAAAGCAGGAAAGAGTTACAGAAAGCAATGTCAGATAGAGCTGTGAGATTTGTGGTATCAACCAAAAGAGGCCATTCCTCTGCCATTGCAGCCTCCCAGTTGTGGAAGTGGTTCCGACTTCAGGGTTTCGTGAATGATTCCAGAGCAAGTAGGACTCTGTGCAGATTTCGGGCTGGTAACGCAGAGCTAGGTAACAGATACAAAGATAGGTACGGCTGTACCCATGTTTTGTGCCCATGGTGTCTCTCAAAAGGTGTCCGCGCCAGGCTGGTAGAGTCTCACGTGGTCCTTATTTGCCCATGCTTAGCGGCACAGCGTAGGGATTTCGGGATTGCAGATTTTCACTTGACCTATGTCGCTCATGGTAAGAAACCTCTATGGCAGATTCTCAGGGCTTGTCTTGGGGGGGGGATGGGTCAGACCAAGTAGTCTTACTTGAAAGAGGGAGGAAAATGGCAGTGTTGTTGGAGTCATGGCTGGTTAAAAGTCATGAAGGTGGTCTGTAGGGCGAGAGCTTTCAAGGTGGGTTTTTTGTCAAACAATCCTAAATCTTATCTTATATCTTATGTTTAAACCATTATCAAATAATAATCTAATAAACTTTTTATTAACTTCATACTGGGGTAGTACCGAGATGGACTACTCTGGGGGACTGTTAGTGTGCAGTTGGGCGGTGACTTTAGTCATTGGTCTGTACTTCGACAGTTGGCCACACTAGACAGTGTGTCACCAATTGGTACATTAATAGCCAATGTGGCTATTTTTGATGAGGTCTCAGCCCTGACTTCTACGGAATGATGGTTGGTTGTTTGTTTGTTTGTTTGTTTGTGTCGGCATCTATTTTTTTGAGATCTTAATTCTTGTATGCAATTGTAAAACCTCTTCTGGAAACTTAATTTACAGGGATTAAGAACTTAAAATCGTATTTTTGCAAGCACTCATCCTTCAGAAATATTTAGAAGGCATTATTAATTCTGTCGGTAGACACAATAAATTGATTAGTGCTTGCTAAAGGTATTAAGAATTTAAGTGTTCCGACCTTTTCAGCATTTATAAAGTTCGGAACTTCGGTTGAGTCATTGTGAGAAACTCATTCTAGTTTACACGAGGAGCCCCAAAATATTTAATATTGAGTTGAATTTTCACTTTTTTGGTCTAATGAGTCCTAATTTCTTATTCTATAATATTCCGATTTCAGCTGAACAACTCCTTCTTGGTAATAACTCTCACTATACACTTCAATGGGCCCCCCCCCCCCCTCTTAGGAATGTAAGAGGACAATTTGTTAGCAATGATTGTTATTTAGATACGAGGCTATTCTGGATGAGAATGAAATAAAGTATAGGAAGAGAAGTGATGATTCTAAATCTGAACCTGCTGCAGCTACTTCTGCTGTCAAGGAGAACGTGAAACCTAATGAACTTGATGATTTAGATCTAGGTCTAAACCAGGAGAGACCCAGAAGGGAATACAGGTCCAGTTTTTAGTCATACTATATGTATACATGAATTTTAGTTGATGTTGATTTTGATGTTGATGTTGATGTTGATGTTGATGTTGATGTTGATGTTGATGTTGATGTTGATGTTGATGTTGATGTTGATGTTGATGTAGGTTGCCTGCTGATCAGAGGAAGAGAAAGGAAAATGATTGTAAAACTCAGTAATTCCAAGATACAGTTGTGAAGTTGTGAACTGCTAAACCGTACTCCTAACTAGTGTACAGTAAACTGTACACTGTTAACTGTATACAGAAGACTGTACGCTATTAAACATATTATCGTATCAATGTAGTTTTTTTTTGTAAAACCAGTAAATTGTTTTTTAATATTCTGATCAAAAATATATCGAGCAATATGTAAATATGTAAATTCCGACTAGAAAATGTATGAAGCAGTAAATATTTTTATGTCCTCCGTATTCTACTTTATCAGCTTAATACTTTACTACAAATCTATCACAAACTCTCCCCTCTTTACCTCTAAAGGTTTATAAGATCCATAAATAACGAGAGTCTGTGTTGAACTAGCTATATTTAGATATAAAAAGGTACTGGTAAATCAGTTGACCGCAATTAGGACCAAGTACTAAAAATAACTTATTTTTGACAGGAACAAAGATACAACAAAATAGGATAATATTTTACAAATAATTTGCTCTCAACTGAAAATTATTGAAAATTAATACTGTTTATTTTTCTTCAAGAAATTATGTATGTTTGTCTAGAACTACAAGCAATAGCGTATGATACCTTTTTCCCTCAATAATAATAAGGTTAATTTAGGAACCTTAAGGAAATTTTGGCAACAATTTTTATCTAATCCAATTACGTTATTGTTGGATCTGTTTCAGCCAGGCATGGCGCAATTTTGCACATCTATACAAATCGTAAATTTTATGTTAAAAGCACTGGTTCATCGTTTTATTTAACCGGAAATGTTTTTTTTTATTTTGTTATGTGAGTAAAGTTAACAGCAGCATACTCGGTTTCTCCGCTGAGGCGGAGGCCACCGGAGGGATGGTAATTCAAACTAAGCACACTAACTACTCCACCGGAGGGATGGTAATTCAAACTAAGCACAGTAACTACTCCACCAGAGGCAGTGTTTCGGATCCATATCATTTTGATCCGGATCCGCATCCGTGATGATGGATCCGGATCCGAGGTAACTTTGATTCTGTGAATCGGATTTTCCCTATTAAATGTTATGCAAGGTTATAATTTATAAACTATAGTAATCCTAAAGTTAAAAATGTCGTCATTACTATTATATAAATGTAAAGATTAAATTATTAAAGATAATTTTGAAAAATTTTCGTCATGTAAATAACACATTTACGAACCATTTTGATTTATTTATTCCATGGTTTTGGTTAATTTTTGGCGCTACCCGGATCCATATCAACGTTTCCTGATACGGATCCGGATCCCACCAAATGATACGGATCCGACCGGATCCGGATCCGAAACACTGACCAGAGGGATGGTAATTCAAACTAAGTACAGTAACTGCTCCACCAGAGGGATGGTAATTCAAACTAAGCACACTAACTACTCCATCAGAGGGATGGTAATTCAAACTAAGCCAGGGAGTAAGGAATAGAAGGGAGATATAACTGACGCGGTTCGCCCTACCATATGATTATACATGCTTTGCAGACGAGTACTCCATTTGTATATGAAATGTTCAGAATAGGTTATTGTATACGCAGTAAATGTACATCAGTCAAATACTTCTTATACAAATGGAGTACTCGTATGCAAAGCATGTATAATCATATGGTAGGGCGAACCGCGTCAGTAATATCTCCCTTCTATTCCTTACTCCCTGAACTAAGCACACTAACTACTCCACCAGAGGGATGGTAATTCAAACTAAGCACACTAACTACTTCACCGGAGGGATGGTAATTCAAACTAAGCACACTAACTACTCCACCGGAGGGATGGTAATTCAAACTAAGCACACTAACTACTTCACCGGAGGGATGGTAATTCAAACTAAGCACACTCTTAAATACTCCACTGGAGGGATGGTAATTCAAACTCAGTTCACTAACTACTCCACCGGAGGGATGGTAATAAACACTCGGCACAATGATTACTCCACCTGAGGGATGGTAATTAACACTTCATCCCGCTGATGGACAAATTAGCATTGAATAACAGAAATATTACCTCCGGTGGGACCCAATATGCTGCTGCAAACTTCAACCTCTCTTTTGTTATTAGATATTTTTATTTCATATATCTTTGTGTTTTCGGAGACTATTTATTCCTTATTATTAGACACATGAAACCTAGAATGAATATTTTATGAAAGTAAGTAAAGACTAGTAGAAATAAATTGCAGGGGTGGACTGGGGGAGGGGGGGCTGGAACCCTGTGCACCCCCTAGCCTATTTAGGTCTTATATTGAATTTAACACTTGATTTTATTCTAAATACCGGGTGTTAATTGTGTTGAACCAATAAAATCTTAAATTATGTGTACTAAACCTCTTGTTCGGCGGGAGCTGCCAACCTTAGAAGTGATGAAAGGGGTATTAATTGTTTGAGCCCATCCTATCCACTAAAATACACATTTTCTGTTTGTCTTAATTTAAAGAAATTTAAATTATATTGAAGGGAACAATCATACTTTTTGGCAAGAACTCAATTAATTTAGAAATAAGGCAAAGTTTATTAAATATAAATAATTGTTTTATAAAAATGAAAAACAACTACTTTTAATTACTCTGAGACTATGATTCCATCAGAGAAAGTATGATGAAAAATTGGAATATTAATTTGAAAATTTGAAGCTTTGGGAAGGGTTTGGATGAGGAAAAGGAAAATATCGAACATTTATATACAGAATAACTAGTGAAAGCAAATTATTTCTGGACTTCATTCCATCCTACATCTGTAGAATCTTATCATCTCTGGCTCCAAAGTTCTGTATATGCCTCCTAGAAAGAGGTTCAAATAATTTGAATTATCATAATGACCATGTGTTCTACAGAAGCAACCAACAGAAAGAAAGAATTAAACTGCAATGACTAAATTTAACACCTTCTCTTGTACGCCGGTCTATGTATAGAAGAAATGTTCAATTTTGACTTTGCAGTATTTACGTCTTTCCATTCATTAAACTTAATTCCCGGTTAGAAAGTAATTCAGAAAGGATAATAGGAACAGTAGACATAATTTTAGCTTACTCTCCATTCAAAGAGTAATGTGTCCGAATCATAAGTGTACTCTCACCTCCACATTATTGATCTGATAGAATCATAATTATAAAGAGCACTTAGGATTCGGGCTTGGCCCTTCATAAGTAGAAGGTCAATGTCAATTATGCTTACAGGCTACAGACCCTTTACGATTATAAAATGTTATCCTTATTTTTTGGAATTGGAAGGATTCATTAAAAAAAAATTTAATTTTTTTTACCGATTTTGATGGTTATTATATCGTTAGGGTCAACCCAGACCGAAATATATTTTCAATAAATGTGGAACAAACATCTACTTTTTTAAGAAAAATGTCTGCATGAAGTCCATGCAAATTTCCCAGAATATCAACACTGTTAATGCTCTAAAACACAATTCTTATTTAACCATTAACAGAAAATTCTCTTAATTATTTTTTATTGCAGGGGTGTTCATTTTTCATAACTATCCCCCTCTGGGTTGGGGAAATGATTTTTGATAATTTGGGGGGGAAAATCACATCAAAAGGCAACTGTTTTCTTTCTTTTGGATCCTTCTTAGCCAAAAATTAATTGATTTTCTCCTGTTCAGTGGATAAAATCCTAATAAGGCATTTGCACTCCACTCTAACATATATATATTTCTAGGGAAAAAGGGGGGGAAACTATTTTTCAAGAAAATATACACCGCTGCTTTATTGTTAAACTTTCGAAAATGTTTGAATATAATTGATTTTTCCTAGAAAATAAGAAAATAAGCTAAGATGTATTTGATTATTATTCTTATAAGCATTTAAGTATATGGACATTGGAGTTCTCGTCGTGCATAAATGTAAAAAAAAATTGGTAAAAAAATACCCTTTTGCTCAGGAAGAGTTTTTTGTGCTGAAAACGGACACCTGACTGAGTTGTAGAGCCTAAGAAGCATGCATCATCTCCAGCTGTATTTCAATTAATTAGAATTAAAAGAAATTTTTTAAAATTTATTTCTGAAGTGAATAACATATAGTGCAATACAAGATTATTCAAATTTACATTCATGATGAAACTTTTTTCTTAGATACATTTAATTGGTGAATTTTTTGCCATCTTTATGGTATGAGTTTAACATGCTACTTGAAACCAGTTCATTTCAAAACCAGTCATTCCACCAGCAGCAAAATTCTCTGTAGTAGTCTTAAGGGCAGCTGATGCACCTGTTGCTTCTCCATCATCAAATCTGACTCCCCATCGGAACGGAACATGTGCACCTTAAATAGAATTTTTTCAAAATAGAATATAGTTAATTGTTTTCTTTTAATTAGATATGGATGCAGTAATATTTCTGTTTATGATCTTAGATAGAATATTGCTTTTTTAAACAGTTCAAAGTGGATTTGATGTAAATTATGTTTAAAATTGTAATTGTCAAAAGTGTTTCCAAAAAATCTTTAAAAGATAGATATCTGTGAAGTACTTACTACATAATGTGACTGACGCGATTTGAGCCTGAAACATGGAAAACATATTATCAATGTGGATTCTTTACTCTATGCGTTGAAATACTTATTTAGCCTTATTATTTACCTTATATTGGCGAAAATTTTGGTAAAATATAAAAATAAGGCATGTAATGCATCAATTTTTTTAAAAGAATCTCTGAATCTAATTTGTTGAAATAATATTGTTAATCTTGTCCCATGAAACATATCAGTTGTTGAATAGTAAAAAATGTCTTCAATATTTTGTTAAGCTATTTGATACCAAAAGAGAATATTAAACAATATCATATAGCATGTCATATTATAGAAAAATCTAATTCTAAGTAAAATATATTTGAGTATTTTTTTTTTAATGAATTAAACTGCGAAAAGTCTTAAATATCTAATACAGTATATGGAAGAAGACATTCAAATCTATATCACCAACTGGCATGTTTCGTGGGACACCCTGTAGCTTAGCCAGCTTATGAACCAAGATTTGCCTTCTAAATGTTGCTATGAACTTCTGCTCATTTTTGAACTGAACCTCCTCATGCATGGTTCTAACATTTTCCCAAGTCAAAATTTGAGGAAGCGGTCTAGGGGTTTATGAGTTATGATTGGACATAGAACATAACTTAAAACATCTTAATTTATTAAAGAAAAAAAATTCGAAATATTTTTGAGTCATAAAAGATCAAAAATTTAAATTTCAAAAAAAACATGGGAGACATTTAAAAGCATTTTTTTCTTCTGTTGTTAA